ACAATTTGATATCTATAGGTTGTATTGTTGATTAAGGTTTTATTCTTATTTTTGACAACAAGGGATGTCTTGTACTCAAGGGTAGTGGAAACATTGTCGTTCGTGGAATTTGTGACAAGATGACACAGCTCTATTGCTACGTTGTTGATCATCCAACCTTTCCGATCTGCGCTTTGGAGTCCACTCATGTTGAACGATTATGACATAAGCGCCTCGATCATCTCAACCAGCATAGCCTCCGCACCATGGGTGCAAAAGGTGTAGCTTTTAAATTCCCATTAATCTCTTGTGTTCTTGAAGATTAAACTAGTTGCTTTATCAGCAAGCAAGCTTGTGCAAATGTCTCAAAGACTGCTATTGGCCGAATGACAACACCTTTGACGTTGATGCACTCTAACCTAAGTGGATCAATTTGGCCTGCTTTTCTTGATGATGCACAATACTTTGTGATCTTCACCGACAATTTTTCGCGATTCACGTGGCTCTACATCATGCACAACAAATCCAAAACCCTAGATAAGTTCCAAATTTTCAAAGCCGCTGTCAAAAGTGAATTCCAACTTGAAGTTCGTTCTTTCTGTTCCGATCGTGGTGGTGAATATCTCTCCATCGCCTTTCACGCTTTTCTTCATGGTGCAGGCATCAAGTGCGAACTTACACAAGCTTAAACCTGGCACCAGAATAGAGTTTGTGAACATCAATATCGACAATTCTGGAGAAAGCTTGTGCCATGTTTCTCAAAGCTCAAACTCCTCGCTTGTGAGCTGAAGCTATCCATACGGCGAATTATCTTGCCAATCGCTCTCCGACTCGAGCAAACTCAAGACTCTCAACTTTTCACCGACTCTACGGCACACCACTCGCTCTACACCATTTGCGCGTTTTTGGATGCATGGTTTTTTTGCACGTCCCTTATGAAACCCGCATCAAGCTTGAATCAAAGAGCTTACCATGCATCTTTCTTGAATATTCAAGTGAAACTGCAGGCTACCAATGATTTGACCCCAAGACACGTAAACTACACATTAGCAATGACGTCTACTTTGTAGAGTCTCGTTTTTGGCACACGATCACAACCGCGGACACTTCACGGTCCGTTGCTCTCAAGATTCTCCTAAACAATTCCGCGGCCATTGAAATTTGTGATCATGCTCTTGGTGTCTTTCCTCGTCCACCCTTGCCACATTCTTTGCAACCTATTAACCTTTCTGTTCACATTCCTCTTCCCGAAATTCTTCCTCTTACTTCTCCTCCCTCATCACCACTTTTTCCTCTCACTCCGCCTCCTCTTCGTGTCTACCAACTCCCCTCTCGTACACCCACTTCTTTTAGTCCATCTATTTAATGTTCACCTCCTTCTGTTGGTCTTTATTCTACTTCTCCTTCTGTTGGTCTTAATTCTACTTCTCCTTCTATTGATCTTAATTCTCCTTCTCCTCCAGTCACGCCACCTTCATCATCCCCTTCCTCACCACTGCCTTTTCGTCGCTCCATTCGCCCACAATTACCCAACTCAAAACTCATTGACTTTATAGCTTTTGTGCGTTGTTCGCATGATCTCATCACCATTCTTGAGTTCCTTGGAGAACATGCAACCTATGCACAAGCTGCAACCAATTCTTCTTGGGTCCAGGCCATGCGTGAGGAAATTGTCGCTCACAAACTTAACGGTATTTAGACTCTTGTTCCGTGTCCTCCTGTTGTAAAGCCACTTCAAGTCAAATGGGTGTTTAAATTGAAGGATGATGTTAATAGTGTTCGTGTTCACTACAAAGCCCGTCTTGTTGCTCGCGGCGACGTCCGGCAAGTAGACCTGGACTACGAAGAAACCTTTTCGTCGGTCGTCAAATGAAACATCATGTGCATCATTGTTTCTATTGCCGCATAGAATGGTTGATCTCTCCACCATATGGATGTCACAGCAGCTTACCTCCATGCCAATCTTGGCTCTCCCGTGTATGTTTGCCAACCACCAGGTTTTATTCTTCCCGACTCTGAAGATCTTGTATGCTCATTTAATCGTGTCATGTATGGTTTAGGTACCTTGGCTCAAAATTGGAATACTTGCTTGGACAACGCATTGCTTGAACTTGGTTTCACGGTGATAATCACGGATCCCAGCCTCTACATCAAGCATCATGGTTCTCTTGTGACCATTGTCATTGTCTATGTGGACGACATCATGATCAATGGTGATGATTCGTCTACTATTACATGGTTGAAGAAAATCGCTTTCAGAGAGATTTAAGATGATCGACCTTGGTCTCCTCTAGTTTTACCTTGGCATTCAATTTGTTCATGGACCGTTTGGTATCCTTCATACTCATGCCTTATATATTTCTGGATGCCTTGCCAATCTTGGCCTCTCTAATTGTCTCCTTGCATGCATTCCTATGAAGCCTAAATTGAAGTTATCACTACATATGGATTCTCCTCTTGTTGATGCAACTTATTATCACATTACGGTGGGGAAGCTCTTGCATCTTACCAACATGTGCCCGTACATTGCCTACGCTGTTGGCCTTTGTACCGGCTTCAATACGGCACCTCGCCAAGCGCACTTGGATGCCACTATCAACATATTTCGATATTTCAATGGCATCATGCACCTTGCGATTCTCTATCGGAAGGGGAAGATGATTGCACCAACCCCATACTTTGATAGTGAGTACCAAGGCAACATGGACAAACGCAAATCAACATCTACCTACACCTTCACCGTCAGTATCTCTCACAAGTTGACTTATTAAATTACAAAATGAAGTCTCTATGTCAACTTGTGAAGCGGAATATTGAATACTTGCGGATGCTGCAAGCGAAGCTGCTTGGCTACGTGGTCTCATGGAGGAGATTAGGATACCACTGACCACACCAATTGTCATCCATTGTGACAATCAGAGTTCCATCAGAACGCAAGGACAAAACACATTGAAAGACACATCCATTTCGTTCGGCATCACATCAAGGACCAAAGAATCGTAGTGAACTAGGTAAAGTCTCGAGATCAAGTGGCCGATATTCTCACACCACAAAAGCTCCGTGAGATGCGAAATATGTTGGGGCTCACAACTCTTGATGAGTGTTGCTCTAGTACATTCAAACTTGTTTCTTCTTGATCTCACATAGTTTCTATAGTAGCTCAGGAGTGAGGTGAGTGTTGTTCAAGAGTGTTGGATTTATCTTAATGTCCTTTTAGAACGCTACACTCCAGATGCATTGTAGCGATGTAACTGTGGCGCTGTAGAGCTACCGAGGCTATAGGCAAGTGTCGACTTTAGGATAAGCTGTCACAGAGCGCCGCAAGCCGATCGTTGATAGACCTGAGCACATGTACTTGAGTGGTGTTTTTCCAATAACAAAATCACCTGTGTGGTCGCATCTTTCTTTCCAACACAAATGTCCGATTATGCTGCCAGAAATCCCAAGTAGTTATTATTGTCAATACACAATGCTTCCGTAATAGCCTCAACTGCAGCATACTGATTGCTTCTGTCATGAGGTACAAAGATGCGCTCGGCACTGGTGGGGAGGAAAGCCCATTCTGGAGCTCAGAGGTCAGCAAACGGTCGCATCAGTCTCCAACTAACCAGATGTCTGAGCATTAGCTGCAGCTTGTGTCGAGTTTCCTCTCTATAACTAAGTAGTTTCTGATATATTGCAACTCGTTGCTAAAATCGAGTGTCGACTTTATGGACTTCTTCTGCACAGCTGGCTGAACGTGATTACAGAGATGATGTTCGTCTATTCGGTCTGCGCTGATCGAGCATATTTGAAAGGTCTGCATGGCTCATGTTCATAACAGCGCACATCGTTTTATATACTCACCTCTTCTCATTTTTTACCATATCACAAATTTAACAACTTTCGCTGAAGATGATCGATCCTCTCATCATCAGACTGAGTGGCCAGCCTCGCGCTCTACGCACATGCAAATGTTCCCCTGTTTGAAACATTTTTGCTGGCGGTTATTGATTGTGGAGAGGCCTTTTCTAGAGTTCTATTTGGGAGATGTCTCTCACCGTGATCTGAGCCCCATATCAAGCCGAGACTTGAGTGCTGTGTAGTAGAATACGTCATACCAGTTTCTAGTTGTAGTGGAGAGAAACTCTCGCTCCTACACGCTCGCTCTGGCAATGTATTGAATCCTTCATACATAACTTCCGTGTGTGTGTGAACATGTATAATAAAAAAGACTAGTGGCCACAAACGATGGATCTCGTATGTTCGCCTTCATATCTTAGGCTTATAGTGAGGAATGCTTTCTCCAATACTTGTAATAAGTCCTAATTATAATCATGGGTAAAAAGGCACTTCTTAGGGAGATAACAAAGGTAACGAGCTCTTCATCCATGCTTCTTCTTGCCATCTCAATTTAATCCAACCCTCAAATGAACGTGTGTGCGCGCGTTCGTTCAATGACCACAATTATTCACAAAAGTCTTGCAACTGTAGTCACTTCTGTTACGCATGTGGCATCCTAGAGTGGTACAAAAGGAGATTTACAGATATAGCAATTACTTTTTCAATCTATACCAATTTACACACAAGAACATCATGTTGGAAATCTACAGTAAAATGAGATATTGCTTTATTCTTGCGTATCATATACTACAACCTTCAATACGCCACTTCTGGAGGAGAGATATTCGTGGGGGAACACAAGCCTAATTTAGGCTTGTGTTCCCAAAGCCTTTTATTAAAACTGTGTATTTGCAACTGCCTTCTTTCAGATTGGAAATTCATAATAACGATCAAATTTTCCACAAATTTTCGTCCTAGTGATCAAGATCTCAACAGTCGTAAAGCTAGTGGTTTAAGTGTCTTTTAGACATACAAACTTTCCAAGTCTTCTGAAAATTGTAAGAGGACGAATTATCAGTTTTTGTCCATCCATATGATGCAGCTGATAATACAGAGCTCAAAGAAGGAGAGGGGCATGACCAATTGCGAATTGAGTCAAGCTGCACCGCAATAAAGATCCACGTACAAACAACCATTGGATGTAATCAGTAAAATAACCATTGGATGTATATGAGTACAATTATCCATTGGATTTGAGACCTTGGGATGTAAGTGAGTAACGTGCCGTGGGCAGTGTTGTAAAAATGGACGAATTTCCACTCTTATGACTGGAGCTATGCTATATGAATTCTTACACCATAACTACTGCTCCCCGTATGATTTTTTCCGGGTTACAGATTTCCAATGGGACAAGGTATCGACGTAGTAGACCCTATTCTCTTGGGAGTAATTGATTGTCAATAACCCCTGCGTATTGTTTCCTACTGCAAGCTTATTCAATGATTTCTCGGTTGTTTCGTATGGCAATCAAAGGGCTCTATTCCCTAACCGAAATAAAGAATGTGAACATCAGATCTTCCCTCGGTTTCTTCGTCGGATGAAGATCTTTAAACTTTGTGATCTGGTTTCTCCTTCTCTAACTTTTCTATCTCCACTTTAGAGATAGGTGTATAACCTGTCTTTGGGAATGGATCTGGCATCATCTTCAGGACGATGCCCATCATTATAAGTAATAGCCCAGTCCCGTGTTGCCCGGTTAAAGGCTTTGTGAAAATGATATATGACAGTAACAATGTGAAGGCCTTCCTCGCAGTTGTGACCTGTACAGTTCAAGAAACATCTTTAGGCTTTGCAACGTGTTGACAGTTTTTTATGATTTATTGTTTGATTAGACTTTTATTGGAAAAAGCTTGCGAGCAAGTTCTAACAACTTTGATAAATCTATCAAAAATAACAACTTTGATGTAATACTTGAAATAATAACACAAGCTAGTATTGAAGTTGAATTTCTAGAACTTTCTATGATCCGAGAATTCTGTAGACATGGAGAAGAGAAATTGATGCGAGAGCAACTGACCATGGCGGTTGTGGCAGCACCGAACAAGGTGATTAAAGATAGTACAGACAGTTGTCCTATAAATGTTGCGCAGGCTTCGAATACAAGTACAGCATAGATGTACAAGTGCTGCAATCAACGATGAAAGTCAGTGAAAGTTTTGAGATACTAAAGTTTCATTGTAGTCAAAACCAACTGAACGGCGAATAAATCAGCATCATATCATGATAGAGCAGTACAATTAGGACTTACTTGTGAACAATTGGTCCAAGCCCTGAATATTTCTCCCGTGAGAATCATAGGAGGAATAAGGAAGGGCAGACCTACGACAGTAGAGCAGAATAACATTTCCATCTGAAAAAATGCATGATAACAAATTAGTAGGCCTATAAAATGTAGGCTTATAATGCAGGGTTATCTACGGTATCCTACATAATCCTATAAAAAACATAACCTACTTTCAATTTCCTCATACAACAAATTCTGACATGAAGAAAACAATAAAAAGTAGAGCTTCGAGAATAATCCACATACAGAAGCAGAGAACAAAGAGACTGGAAAACAATACTCATTTGGATAGAATTACCTGTTAAACAAAGGGCTCAATAGAGTAGTAAATATACAAAGGGACCAAGAGATGTACCTGTGAAGTCGCAGGATTCATGGTGAAAATTGCCTCTTGCAGATTTCCCAAGAAGGCATCCAGGATAAGAGCACCACACACCATAATTACTCCCATAACATTGAAGTTGGGTGACGTGTTCGCATCTGCTAATGTGAAGATCACCAGACCGACCACAAGCATTACCGCTGAAACGTACTCATGAAAAGGGTACTTCCGCCGAAGACCTGGAATGAAGGCTCCCATAATCATTACAGGTAGGACCTGAGAGATCAGAAGAGCTCGTCAACAGCTCATCTCTGAGAAGTTCCGCATCCCCAAACTCATGTTCTTTGATTGAAATGAAAGCATGGCTTTTGTCGAGCGTCAGATATACTATTTAAAGTGAAGCGAAAGCAATCCATGGCCACTAATGTTTTCATTGACTATTCTTCAGCAGCCCTATGAAAACTACACTATGAGTACATTGCAGTTCCAAGAACGAGCATCTTCACAGCACGATTTGGCGAAGATCTCCGAAGGTATAGATATAAACCTTGGTAGACTTGAACATGATTTGCGCAGGGTAGTTGAGCCACATAAGAGATCCTTTGGTGAGCCCGTGGGAACCCATCAAGACGGCAGACAGCTTGATGTAGGTGTTCCACGGATTCTGGATGTGCTTGAGCTTGAAACCCTGTGCCATAATGAGGGCCAAATAAACGAACCCTTGAACGAACGTGAAGTACCAACCATAGCTGAAATGCCACAAAAATTTCTGTCAGTTTCACTCGCTTTGTCTCAGATCTGGTGTAAGTTACTTTCTACAACACTGTTCCTATCACACAAGCAGGTCCTCTTTGGACAGGATTACAAAAGACGGCTCAATACGCACCTAAAGTGAAGTCTGTTGTAGACGTACTCCTGTAAGAAGAACAACATTCACTGGTAAGACCATCCATGCTTCCTTGAGCGATCATCATCTGTAGCTAAGCACATTCTTTATACAATATCTCAAGTCCTGACTCACAGGCTGGGAATTCCATCCCCAACTCTGGCAGAAATTGGCGCATGTCCCAACGGACATGCGCCATTTTCTGCTCAAGTCGGGGCTCGGAGGCTTCACGTCCACTCATGTGCAGGATCGTTGGTCAGGAATCTTTTAGTCTAGATGCAGGTCAACAGGATCAAACTAGATTTTGGCTCGTTCGTCGCTTTGTAATGATTTTCTACACAATCAAACACATTCTACTTTCAGTGGACCACTTTTCAGTGATGCATGATGGATCGGAGATCGTCCTCATGTGAGCTACGAGATAAAAGTACGATAAAGTTCGTGACATCGAGCAAGCCTTTTCCATAAAAGACTTGCTCGATGTCACGAACTTCATCAATGCAGTACGCTACTAAGACCATGTCAGATGAACTTCTCGTCCTGTCGAAGAACTCTACTCTCAGAAACTTTCAAATTGTCGTCAACACAGAGAGTCTTCAGACACTCCAGCGCAGAGACGGAAAGATTGGTCGCTCACGATGACCCTCAATGCTGTCTTGTGACCTCACACTGCACCTCAGATGGTTCCCTCGAGGAATGAGTTTAGCAATGTGAACTAAATACTGGAGGAAAGAATCTTCATCAGCACCGCCACATGCAGTACAGGAAGAATCGCAATTTACCTCGCACACACCATTAACCATGTAGCCAAAGAAGAATCCACCACCGCAAATAAGAAGCTGCAACCACCTCGGCTTACTGCTCAGATTGATTCCCAACAAGCTCACCACATTGTCATCGCCGCTAGCGCTAATTTGCCCCATCTTGGCCACCCAGTCGAGGCAGTCAGAGAATGGCGAGAAGGAAAAGCCGAATGCCGCTCAGCCCGTCGAATCCGATTCTGTAGAGCCGGCTCGACGCTGATGCCAACGCGCTGGTGCCTCAGGAGGCCGTTTGCTCTCGACGATGTTCGATTTCTTCTCGAAGCCCGGGTTCAAGAAGGTCCAACAGTCGGTAAGAAGGCCGCGATTGCAGCAACCGCTACGTCATTCGCTTCTGCCACAACCGTCTACTTCATGCCCAGCACTGCACAACCGACCGACGCGATTTCTCCAATTCGCCCCAATTGGCAGGATCTTTTTCGTTTTGTTTGTCACAAACATTCTCCGAGCGAGCAAGCGAGCGAGCAAGCTCTGCCGCCTCCAGCAGAAAGAAAGACACAGCTGCTAGCGCTTGCAGAAAAAGGAATCCTCTTGCCTTCAGCGCAGGACGGCTGCAGCCAGAGCGGCGGGTACCCACTCACTAGCAAGCTAGCTAGCTCGTTCACTCACTATCGACGCATTCTGGATTTCACGGTTCTCACACACGACGAGCTTAAATCTCTAGCACGAAGAAGAACGAGTTCGAACGAGTTTCGATCTCTCTCTCACGCTCTCCAGGCCTCGCGCAAAAGCGAGACCAGAATCGAGAGCGCAGAAGAGAATCGACACCCTCCCACCTCCTCGTCCTCTCTTTTACTCGCCTACATCATTTACATTATTACTCGGCATCGCCTCCTTGCGATTGTTCTCGTCCCTGGTCTTGCGATCGCTCCAGGGCAGCTGCAGGAGACGCAGTCAGCGCACCGAAGCCACCCGTCCTCTCTTTCTCCGGCCCTGCTGTCCCGCGCCTCGCCTCGCCTCCTGCTTCGGTTCGGCTCCAGCCTCCGAACCGCAGTTAGCTGAATCTTCGTTCCAGGCCCGGGGATTCTCCACCCTTCGTGCCCTTCTTTGCTGCAAGGGTTTCACTCCACAGCTCCGTAGCCTGTTATTGATTCTGTTTATTTCCTCAATTCCACGATTCTTTCCGAATCCAACGACACCAACACGGTACATGACAAATACAGACCTCCGATGGACGTGTTGTTGTTAACAGCTTCTGAGCTTTCAGTCGAATTGGCGCGCTCCATGTGCACCGAATTGGTCTCTGTTTCTTAGGGATTGCTGATTTCTATAATCCACAACTCTTTATATGCACCCATTATAACTTTGGACTATCTACAACAAGTCCAAGCTCGACAATGACCGTCAACTCTTTTGGGTTGCCTCCACTTCATTCGAGCCTTTGATTATCATTGCTTGGGATTTATTTTCCACATCAAGTTGTATCGACTTCATCGCCAGCAAAGCCATTGGGCCTTCTTTTCCGACAATCAGCAATCATGATCTCCTCGTTGGTACTAGTGCAAACATGATAAAATAAGGGAGCGTCTTGTTATTTTTCAATTTATATTAATTATATCTCATAGTGCAAAAATTATATAAAAAAAATTAAATTCTAGGATTGGTAAGAGGTATCTCATCTTATTTAATTATCTCAAAATTAACACGCTAGTTCCATCGCCAGTATAAGTTTCCGTTTGAGTCAGGCTACCCTTCGTGATTAAACACAAATGTAGGTTTGATAACAAAAAATATACAGCTACCAAGAAACTTGTGGGTTTCCACGAGAACAAACCGATATCATAATTTAAATGAAATATAATCAACATAAACTGAAAAATTACGAGACACTCTTGGATTACAGTATTTTACGTCCATATGAGGGACTCGTCTGGGTGCCACTAATTCCTTTTTTCCATCATATTTCATCACTAGAACCCGGACATGCATACGATCTAAGATCACTCACCAGTTCCTCACTGATCGCAGTTGAATATTTGCTCTACGTAGCAAGGGAAGCGGAACAAGACATCATGTCGGAACCATAAATGAGCAACAACAAGATCATGGGTCGATACCGAATCCGCCCCAAAGAAATATTGGGCTATGGGATGCATGTGGGCGAATTGATAAAGTCACGCTTGTTGGAGTTCAAGAACATGTGATCGTGGTTCACATGCTCACATTCTCTCCTAAACCTCAAGCCCGAACTTCCTGATGGGCAATGACTCAGCGGCGATGGGCAATCCAAGATCCTCGTGCCACAACGCCACCACCTCCATGAAAGCGCAAACACCCGCCTGAGCACTTGATGAGTTCGTTCCCTCGCACTAATTCCAACTACCCACATAATTCTTTTCCTCCTGACAAACCCGTGAGACCTCCACATGGACTCACTGACACTTCGGAAACCACAATCGAAGACGAATCATCAAAGGGATCAAATTCACGGAGCTTCCTAATTCCAGTATCAAAGCTTCCTAAGATTCGAGGTCCTGGACAGTACGATGCACATTTTGGTCCGAAATTTTTTTCGGTTCCGAGTGGTTTCATCACGATCTCCACCTGGGACGACAAATTCTGTTGCTGCCGACAGCGAGCGGAGAAGATTCACGCAGACGAGGCCGATTTCTGGGCACCCGAGAGAGACATTCGTTCGTCATATGTCGCAGCTGTCGGCGTGGCTGCCCCTGGCCCTGCCCCGCACGTCCTCTGCCCAGAAGTTTACCCTAGTCAGGTCCCGGACCCACCCGCGGTCCCGAACCTGAACCTGAGGTCGTGTTATACCCGTGACTTTGCATATGTTTTTTGTTTCACGCACGAAGGACAGAATTAATCAAGTAAATAACGTCCATATTTTATAACGGTCACAAGGATTAGAATAGGGCCCTCGTTCTCCGCCTCCCGTCGTGCCATTTTCTTTAGTTTCGGGGCTTCGGTGAAGGAAGAATATTTATTGATGAACCAGAAGACTAAAGATTGGGCACAGTCACTTTATATTGATATTGGTGGTGGTACAGCCTCAAGTTAGTTCCATACGGCAGAAATATATATATAAAACGAAGAATTTTTGAACTCCACGTGGATGTTAGTTTGCAGAAAAAATTACTTGGTGGGATCTCAACAGAACATAGAAATATTGATGAGACCCAATACGTTTGATTTTACACGATAGAATCCTCTTACGGCACTTCGGTACACCGTCACCTATGTTTTACTATGAGATCTTGTAATTACTTTGTTTCCGGGTTAGTAAAACCACTGTAGGTCTTTGTTGAAAAAAAGTGACTTCTTCCCGAAGTTCAGTTATTCCCTGGTTGTGAAAGAGGCACCTTGAGGTACTCAAAGCAGGGACTTCACTGACCAAAACACGCGACTTCTGCCAAGAGTTTAGAAGAAAAGGAGAGAAATGTAAGTTAATAACGTCCATATTTTATAGTGGTAAAATCATTCTCTGCTATGAGAACTTGGTCTCTCACATGATGAAGATTGGCAGCCATGGGAATTGTAACTAACTGAAGTCATTTAGAACTCTCTTTTTTTTTTTTTTAGAAGAAGTCACTTTTCTACAACAAATAGCGGTAGTGGTTTTCCCAACCGGAAACAAAGTGTACAAGAACTGTATGGAAAGATAGGTGACGGTGGACTGAAGTGCTATAACATGGATCTCATACGGTAAAATGAAACGTATTGGGTCCATCAAGACTTCTGCATTCTTCCGAGATGCAATTATGTAATGTCCTCTAGTTTCCATTATCCTTTGATTAAGAAAAGTGGAAACTGAAGAACTAACTTGTAGTGGATGTTATATTGATTTAGGGGATTATTAGAAGTAAAATATATAAATAAGTGAAAAAATATATTTATATTCATATAATATACACTCAGCAGTAGATTACAACTTGAAACGGAAGATCAAATGATTATTGATACTTTTTCAATATCCCCTTGACTTCTTGTATGCACGAGAACTTAGAAAGTTGATTACCAAGAGACACAATAGTATTTTTGGGCTTTGCTTTGGCTTTATCGCATGCGTAGTCATTATTTGATATCCTCCCACGGAGGAAAATACGAACGGAGATGTCCTCGGACTAACCCTGGGTGTACGAGAAACCTCATCCGAGCCTATGAGATAACCCCGGTCAGAGTCAGTTAACCCTACCGGACGAGAGCGGGGCCGACAGGTTGTGTAACCAGGCACAGAACAGTTCGAACCAAGAAGGTTACGCTCGTGACCGCATCCCACCTCACCAACGGCCCTGCCTGGCGCTCTTGCAGCTTCGGCTCCACAGAATCCGCGAAGCAATAGCGCGTGTTTTTTTCCGGACTGGACTAGCTCCGGGAAAGGACCGGAGGCGATTCCACAGCTCCGGTTCCATAGCGGAGCAGGCCTGGCGAGGTCCGGTGAGCACCGGTTCGAAGTCCAGGGGATCTTCTCTCCAGAAGTGCAGGGTCCAGGCCAGGTCCTCTGTGGTGCGTAGATGACGTGTTCGCAGCGACGTGTGACGTGGAGAAAAGTCCACCTGGGGGAATGCAGGAGCCGTGCGATCGTCCACATCGGACGACTCATCATGGCAGGAAATGATTTCTCACGTTGTATGGGTGGTTTCGGACCCTCGTGTTAAGCCACGCTGATTAGACTCAGGCCCTTAATTAGGGCTAATTCATTTCTGAGCTGTATAAAGAGGGGTCGATGAATTCTCGCGCATTTCATCGAAGTTGTGTGGCGCGAGGAGAGCAGAATTGAGCATCAAGTGATTTTGCTTGAAAGCGCCGCCACTTCGCTTTCGTGCAACTTTTCCTGTTGTACCTCGACAGTTAATTGATTCTGCCATGATCGTTTCGCACTCACATCGGCCACACCTGTCAAGATCTCCTTAGATTTCTCTCGCGAGCAATTTCTACATCCCCTCGAAAGATTAATTTGAGTATCCTCTTGCTGCTAAAGGAGGGAGGAGTAGTATAGTCCGGGAAAGCGGGCCATGGATGTCGATCATTAGTTTATTTTATTGGACCGAGTGCAAGACAGCAATGGACATATTGGAGGGGAGAATATTGGTACAGAAGGCTTTGGAACAAAATTGGGAGGTCCCTTACTTGCTATAAGGAACCTCTCCTCGAAAAAGGTCCGATTGTAGGGTTCTGGTGGGGAGAGTAGCTCCTCGACGTCTTCAGATTCGCAAAGTATGTGCTCGTGAAAAGGTTCTTTACTAGTTTTTCTTTGGAGGGTAGATTTGGACATTGGCCGGATGAGTTTCCACCGACGCAGATTCTGAGGACTTGTGTTTGTTATCACGGCAGGTTCGGGAGATTTCCTGGCCTCCACTCCGACATAATGCCGCCCGGTCCTTGTCATGACTTGCGAAAGAAGTATCCTTATGTAAGTACAGCACGTATGAGAACTACATGCCCCAATGTAAGTTGAAAGTTTCCTCTTTGTGTTCACTTGCTTTTCGATTGAACGTATGGACTCTTCTTGTTCTCTGTGGTCAGCCCACAGCTTCGTTCGATTGTGGGGCCCTTGTTGCTGGACTTTTGGACATTTGTTGGCCATTTGGAAAGCATGTGCATGCGTTCTTGTTTTCGGCTTGATGGCATAGTTCGACAGCAGATGCTACGTGAAGATACTGAGTAACAGTCCACTTTGTTGTCCGATCACTACATATGAAGAAGATTAACAGTTTTCAATTTTCAAGGGTTTGAACCAATTCCCCCGTCATGAGTTCTAGCGATCACACAATACTACTTGAATTTAAATTTAAATAATTATTAATTTGAGCGTTAATAATGTGAAACTAATAATTTTCCATGGATAATGATAAATCTGAAGCTCCATTTTAAAATGAGAAAATTAATTTATCATAATCTATCTTTTTGTTGTCATTTGAATTTGCTACATTACTAAATCATGGATAGTTATATGCATAAGTTATTTGTAGAGGGAGTAAAAAGACTATTGAATATTATATGCATAAGTTATTTGCAGAGTGAGTAAAGAGACAATCGGAGCCTTTTGCTTTGAAAATCATTAACGAAACTAAAAGTTGCCTAGACTTGAAAATTAAATTCTATTCAAAAAATTATACTATTAAAAATAAATTTTTTAATAAATCTATTAGTAAAATTAATAATAAAAAATAAATTGTGAAATATTGCAATACTAAATATACTAAAATTTATTTGTATTTGTATTTGAGAGTGAGCAAGAAGAAATTAAATCTTGGTTAAGGATGCCGTACATACACTTGTGTGTGTTTTAGTGAAGTTTTTATTTTTTGCTCATGGACGTAGTATGTGGAAAGTGAACCACGTTATCTCGGTATTGTAACTGTTGTATGTGATGAGCATTTCAATTGATATTAGAGCTATTTTTTGTACTTAGTTGTTTGATTTTCAAAGTTTTTGGAGACCAAGGAGCGCGGAAACGCTGTCAAAATTGTTTGCTAATTCTCCCTAGAATAGTAGCTAGAGCCACTAATTACACTTTGATGAAAGAAAGGTATAGTTCATTAAATAATTTGAGTGATTTTTGAAATTTAAAATGCAAATACATCTTACTATCTACTGTCAAAGAAACCAATTTGATTTTTCAAAATCCGAATTTTTCATCAATGAATTTTTCAATTTTTCACACATAGGTTTGATTTTCTCTCCGAGAATATCGTTTTGATTTAATTTTCGATGAACTTTGTCAAGAGTTCGTGAAGTTATGGGTGTTTGAAGATTGGGGTCAAATTTAGCTATGGTGATCTCATATGAATACAAATTCGAAGTGATGAATCTCAATTTTAGGGTTTGAGGAGTTTCGGGCAGATGTAATGTTTCAAAATTTTAATCGTTAATTCCAAATTACTAAGGTTGGAAAGCAAAGGAAAATGTACATGTAATCTCCACAAGGAAAAACAGAATCTTGTCAAAAGATAATTGAACAAAGAGTGTATTTTTTGGCAATTTTGGTGTATTAGACCTGCAACCTCCGGGCTGACTTTCACCGAGATTTACCTCTGATGGCTTTGTGATAGCGCATCATGATTTTAGAAGACTATGATTCATCCCCTCACTCATGTCCCAAACAACTTCTCTCACAAACTCTCCATGTATCACTCCAACTCACACATAAACTCTCCTCACATCACTCTCTTCATATAAACACAAACACACGTCGATACTCCAAGATACTCAAAAACTTCACTCCTTCATTACTGAAACAAGTCCTCACACATGACTCTCCAAACTTGCTTGAGAGATGATACTCTACCTCTCTATTTATACTACTTGAGAAGTTACCATAGTAACATATGGTAATTTCTCATAACTTACTTTTACCTAGGTAAGTTTGACTAACACTCTCATGTGGCAACATGCCATTGGCCTAGCTAAACCTTCTAGAAGTTTCCGGAATCCAAGGTTGAGGTGACGACATGTCATTGGAAACTTTTAAACTTCTACAAGAGTCTTAGCCACTAAGTCAACACTAGACTTAGTCTAGCCAATCATCTTTCATAAATTTTAGTCTAACCAATCAAATCCAAGCTTGAAGTCAAATATCTAATCCCTTGGAATCTAGAACTTTTGTATAAGACAAAATAGAAGTGATCACTCCTTGTAAAAGACAAAATAGAAGTGCTCACTCCACTCTTCTAGAATTCCGATACTTAATCCGCCAACTATAGACATTGTAGCCAAACTTAGTCATGACTAGATAAATTTAGTTATAACTAACTAGTTTAGTCATAACTAGCTAGACTTAGCTATGCCTTGGCTAATCGTACTTAATCACTTGACCACTTCTAGGACTTAGTACATATATGTAACACCCGGTCTTATAGACCAAGCTAACTATGTTAATTTGAGTTCAAATTTTGCAGGTGATACTAAAGCAAGTTGAGCACGTGATATGACACGTGTGTATATATATATATATATATATATATATCTCTTTTTGGAAATAGACTTTGTGTAAATTTTTTGGTAGTAAAGATTTCTTTTGGGTATCGAAATTCAAATTTTTACCTCTCTTAACTCTTGAGTAGATAACATTTTATTCGGAGTTGATTTTGGCAAATCATTTTCACAATCTAGTGAATTAGCTTTTAGACTACGCATGGATGGTTTCAGATTTCAATTTTAAAAACTTTCATTTTTTGACAATTTTTGAGGCTAAATGTTGAGTACTGTTAACATTGTGAGCACTTTCTAGACATGAGAGCTTGGAGCAAGGAGTGTAATTTATTCCAATTGTTGCGGAAGGTGTTGCATTTAGACGACAAAATTGATGAGTCAAGCTTTCTTTCCAAGGATAATGTTGAATACATTTCGGAATATCCTCAAATTGGAAATTGGCATATCAAACCTATGACGTTATCTAAGATTGGTGGACCGAAGTTTGAAGTTGAACGTTTTGATGACCGTACTAACTATCTCCTTTTGGAACCGCAAGTCAAGAATGTGATCAAGTGAAGAAAATTCTCAAACTGAATTCCTTGAATGTTGATGATGAGGATTCGAATGAGATTCAAGATGAAGTTGTGAGTATTATGACTCTCTACTTGAATTCTAATGTGTTGAAACAAGTTAAGGAGTTAAAAACTATGACAAATATGTTCCAAGCGCTTCAAACAAAGTATCACATGAAGGAATTGTTAAATCGGCTTTTCATATCATTGAAATTGATGAGATTCAAAATTGGTTGAAGTTACAAAGATCCAAGATCACATTGATGCTTTCAACGATTTATTGATAGATCTTTAAAACTTGGATGAGAATTTGAGTGATGAAAAAAAAACATTATAGCTTTTGAGCTTCTTACTAGTCTCATACCACACTCTATCTTGTGTGTTGTTTCATCAAGATAAAGAGAACATCACTTACAATGAGGTAGTGACAACTTTGTTGGCGGACGACATCCAACAAAAACTGGTACTCAAGTTTAGTCCAAACCTGCGAATCACAGAAAAAGGCAAGCAGTTAGCGTCACCATACTACCCCACCTCTCTAAAAACTACAGGAAAGTTCTTCAACACCTTCTTCTTCTTCTACTGTCTTCTATGTCACTCGTGGGAGATTGGAAAAACGATCCACTAGCGTGAGCAAGTCGCAAAATCGGTCCAAGTCAAAGGAAGGTAATAAGAAGGAGTTGAAGTGTTGGAAGTGTGGCAAGCTGGACCACATGAAATAGTATTGTTGTAGTAAACTGCAGGAGAAGAGAAAGGAATATGTTGGTCCCTCCGCAAATGTTGTGATCAACAATGATGAAGTCTATGTCTTGTGAACATATTCTCTTACCAAGAGATGAATGGATTTTGAACTCGGCTTGTTTTTATCACATGTGTTTTATCTTAGAATATTTTAGTACTTACGCATCATCTCAAGCTTCAGTCTTAATGGCAAATGATCATTCTTGTAAGATTGATGATATTTGATACATTCAAATTCAAATACTAACATTGACAAATTTTTGACACATTCTCGGTATACGTAAGAATTTAATTTTGCTCGAGGAGGTAGACATTAGAGGCTTTCATTGAAAAGCTGTTGATAGAATGGAGAAAGATTCTAACGTGATAATAAAAGCTCACAAGCGGAAAAATCTGTACATCTTGGAGTTATCTACAATTTTTTATGGAGCCAATTTTACATCAATATTGAAGTATGAGATTAGATTGTGGCATGCTTGTCTTGACCACATGAGTGAAAAATGTATGAATATTTTACACAAACAGAATTTATTATCTAGCTTGAGGTCTTGCAAGCTTGAATTTTTTGAGTATTGTGTATTTGAAAAGCGAATGCAACGTGCTTTTGAAAATAGCGTTCATAGTTCCAAGACAGTTCTTGAGTATGTTCATTTTGATGTGTGGAGCCCTTCCCCTATTGCCTCACATTCTGGAAGAAATACTATGTTACGTTTACCGATGACTTCTCAAGGTAGGTGTGGATTTACTTTATTCCACGTGGAATAAAGTAAATCCACGCAGGTCTGATGTCTTTGTCACTTTTAAGAAGTGGAAAGTCCAAGTTGAGACTAAGATAGGAGAGAAGGTGAAATTCTTGCGATCAGATTACGAGAAATTTACGTGTTCCAAAAGTTTGGCGTGTTCTGTGAAAACGAGACGGTTATCCGCCACTTCATCACTGTTTATACTACACAGCAAAACGGCGTGTCAGAAAGAATCAATCAGATTGCTGTTTAATAGATCACGAAGTATGTTGAGCCACGTTGGTTTTACCACAAATTTTTTGGGCTGCAAATTTTGTGGGCTACAAACAAACCATCAATACTGCGGCTTGTTTGATAAACTTGTCTCTTTGTATTTCAACAAGTTACAAAACTCAGTTTGAAATGTGTCATAAATAAAATGCTGATTACTCTTATCTTAGAGTGTTTGAATGTGATGATTATGCACATATTGCTAGGAAATCGAGAACTAAGCTCGATCTCAAGGCTACAAAGTGTATTTTTCTTGGTTATCATCATGATGTCAAAGAATACCGACTTTGCGATCCTTTAGGATAAAAACTTGTCTTTAGTAGATATGTTTCTTTCATTGAATCCAGATCATCAAAAAAGAGGGAGATTGTTGATCTTGCTACTAACAAAGGCTAGAGAGGGAGATTTTTCATAAAATTTGTCATGATGAATCGCAAGGAGGTGCTTAACAAGTAATAGGTGAGATAGAAGAGCAAAATTTTGCTACTAAAGAGATACATCAGGAACAAACATTGCTGGTGGGTCAACATCTAAACCAGCACACATTGATCAGTCCGAGTCTTCAACTGCAAGACCAATACGTGTTAGTTGTGCGTCCGATAGATATGGTACTTGATTTCCTACTGAACATGCGGTTAGGAACGAGGACCTACTTGTTAATGACTTAGGAGAAGCGTTGATCACGGAGGATCCGTACTCTTATACTGAATTTCAATCAGTCCCGGAGAAGCTTGATTGGGATGTAGCAATGAGGAAGAAAATGAAATCACTTCATGACTATTAGACTTGGGAACTCGTGGAGTTGCCCAATGGCAAACGAGCTATGGATTGCAAGTGAGTCTACATGATGAAGGATGTATCTACTGATATAGTTGAAAAAATCTTCAAGGCAAGATTGGTGGCCAAGGTCTTTGAACAGCAGAAGTGCATTGACTACAATGAGGTCTTTTCACCGGTTGCTAAGTTTTCAACTATATGCTTGTTGTGTGCATTTGTCACATTATTTGGTCTATTTCTACATCATATGGATGTTGTTACAATCTTTTTGCATGAAGCATTGAACGAAGTGATTTACATGAGATAACCGTAGGATTTTTTGAAAAGAGTAAAATAATATTTGATTTGTCGATTGCTTAAATCCTTGTATGGACTTAAGCAAAGTCCCCGACAATGGAACAAATGTTTTGATGAATTCATGCGCACGCAATGCTGCATAAGAAGTGCATATGACCCTTGTGTGTACATGAAGCATGTTAAAAACACAAGTTTTGGTTTTATATTACTCGTGTTGTATGTACATGACATGCTTATTGCCACTAAGGATAAGTATGAGATTTTTAAACTCAAAGTCCATCTCAGTTTTGAGTTTAATATGAAAGATCTAGGTCCTGCTAAGCGTAATGCTTATTGCCACTAAGGATAAGTATGAGATTTTTAAACTCAAAGTCCATCTCAGTTTTGAGTTTAATATGAAAGATCTAGGTCCTGCTAAGCGTAATCCAAGCATGAAGATTCATATGGATGAGTCATCAAGCAAACTTTGGTTGACACAAACGCGATATGCAGAGAAAGTATTTACTAGGTTTAACATGTCAAATGCTAAAGCTGTAAGTACTCCATTAGTTGTACAATCTAAGCTTTTGGCAGCTTTATGTCCATCAGATGCAACGGCAAAAGGATTGATGTCTTCTATTACTTATGAAAATGTGGTTGGCAACATTATGTATCTACTAGTACGCATATTAGACCTGATATAGCATATGCAATTTGAAAGGTGAATGGATTCATGTAAATCCAGGACGAGAGCATTGAAAGCTGTGAAGTGGATAATGAGATATATCAAAGATTTTTTTGATATTGGATTATTGTTTGATGCACAATTAAACAATGCAAGTTTGCTCTTGGGATATGTTAATGCTGATTATGAAGGAGATATGGATAAGCGAAGATCAACAACTGGGTATGTTTTCACTCTTGCTAGTGAATACATAAGTTGGAGATCTACACTTCAAAAATGCATTTCTTAGTCGTCCATAGAAGTGGACTACGTTACGACAGCAAAAGCAGCAAAGCAAGCAATTTGGTTGAACAAGTTGGTCATTGAGATGAGACTGCCACACAATGATGTTATACTTTACTACGACAATCAGAGTGCACTTTATCTATTATCAATCAATGTGATGGATGACAAGTTAAAGCATATTAATATTCTATATCATACAAGACACTGCTTGTATGATATAAACTGGTAGTGCACTTAAACTCATCAAAATTGATGGTAAATTCAACCCTGCCAACGCATTGAGCAAAATGATTTCATTGGAATGTTTTTCCAAGCATTGTGCAAAGTTGCAAATTTTGCACATGGATTGGTTCATCTAGTAACTTTTGTACATTTAGTCTCCATTCGGTTTTTTGCAAGCTACGACTTAGTTTTAGTTAACTCTCGGCTATTGAGGAAAAGTTTGATTTAGCTTTACTTTCTAAAACTTCTCGCAAAATAACGTGTGGATTGCATTAGTTAGTTTTCCAAGACTTGACTACAGGGGGAATTTGTTAGGTTAATTCTATTTTGAATTAACTCCACTTAGTGATAATCATGGTTAGGGAAATTAACTGTGATTAGATTAGCTAAGATGTGCACATTATATCTTCTTGTATAGAAGAGAGAAGAAGTCATTCACTACGCATAGTTCAGAATTGCACTTTGAGAGTGAACAAGAAGGAGAAGACCTTGGCTATGGAGATTGTGTATACACATGCACTTTAGTGAAGTTTCTACTTTTGTCCGTGGACATAGCATGTGGAAGATGACCCACATTATCTCGGTGTTATAACTGTCGTGCGTGCTGATCAGTCTTGATGGTTGTACCTTTCATCAATGCCCTCAAAAATGAATAAATGGTTAAAAGATTTGAACTCATGTGAAACAAACTATTTTTTTATTATTAATGTTATCAAACTACAATAGCAAAGTCTTTAATCCTGCAAATTAAATCTCTTGATTTATACAAAATTGCAACTTTTAACAATATAAATAGAAATGTTTAATTGTATATTTAACTTGAACAAAACCATAAATATTATGTCAATCAAGTTCAATTCATTTTTAATATCTTCTAAACCCCATCATTAAATACAATTCAAACAGTTTTGCTTTCATATGGATTAAAATCTTTTAAATGTATTTTTTAAACATAAATTACCAGAATATCTTTTAAAAAGAAGAATTTTTTAAATATGATGTATGAAATTTCAAACATTGCACATCTTTCAAGAGATTTATTGATATATTGCAAAAATAATAAGATTTCAACTAAAAAATTTGATTTGATTTTCTCTGGACATTTAATTCTTATCTAGTAGTTTAATAAACCATTTTAAGAGCTAATATTATTCTAGAAGGAACATAAAAAATTTGAATTATTCACATGAAAAAATTTTCTATTAATGTAAATAATATCAGTAAAATATTGCGAAAATATTTTTAAAATTTTTATTTGCTAATAATATATATGAATTTGTTAAATCATCACAACTCAAAAAAAATATGATTTCACACTTCGATGGATTTTGTTTCATGATGTTATGGTTTGTAGTGTATGAACGAAATGAGTGTTTCCAGTATATCTAATTTCCTTTTTGAAAAAAAATTTATGAAGAAGGTTGACCAGAAACTATGGTCAGTCACACACGTTTCTTTTGTTGACTGTGCTTGGACTGCACTCCATGTTCCATAGAAATTTAGTTCAAACATTGAAGTATACTTGCGCCATCAACATGGAGATGAAGACGTTAACTCTTTTCTTTATTTGGATGTAGCAAATTTGCTGGCGAGGATTGGAAAGTTGCACATCATTCTAATTTTTACCTCAATGTCAATCTCGGGTAATCATATTGATAAATGTACAAATATATATAGTCCATATCTTGGAAAAAGGTTTGACCATCTATTTTTTTCTCAATGTGAAAAAGTATTGTGGATATAGCTAAAAACTCTAGTTAGTGTTTTGATTTGACAGCTCATCATCTATGGCAATGATAACGGTTGTGAATAAACAAAATGATCCCATACACATATTGTAGAGTATTCCAACTTTTTATGTCTTCTATAAGAGTATAGAGCCACGATAAGCCTGACCTGAACAACTTGTCGCTCATTTTTCTATTGACAGAGTTACTCGTGAGCATACGAACTTTCAAAATGATTTTTTTGTCCACAGACAAAAGCCACAACCTGCCACGTGTTTGATCCAAGATGTACATCTTGGATCAAACATGATATGCTAAAGTCCGCTATAGTGAGATCTTCATGCAACGTGTATATAATGGGCGAGATTAAAATTATGCAACAAAGAGAAGGGTGTATTTTACACCACGCCTGAATATAAATTTATATAAATGCCCGCATGGATTGGTTGCGACCTGACGGACGTTGAAGAGCCAGTTTTTTCTATCGCCCTTTAGTGAGTTTTCTCCAAGTTATGAAAAGTTTGAGCGTACTATTTTAGCTCAGTCATGTCGAGAGCAACACAGCTCTTTGCAAGAATAACTCCGGGCTGCCTTTCCAAAACTGAAATGGCTGGTGGGCGAAGGAATGTTGTCTGAAGCAACTATCCTCTCTACCCAATATGGAGGCTATATATTCGATGCACTGGACGATAAAGGCTTCTAGCACATCACCAATCCAAAATGTCATCTAATCTAATGAGTCTAATGGACACTAGTAAACGGTCTTTGATTTTTCCGAAAATATCATTCTTTGCTTGAAGCACTTGTTTGATCACAAGGGCTTCAAACAAAGAAAGACATTTTCCAGTCAGAGTTCGTTTCTTTTGGCTGGGGTACTTTTACCCGAAATGTATTTTCCGTAAAAACAATTCTGTTGTCCACTGCATCACTACATTGGGCTGATGAGCAATTTTGAATTGGTGATGTGCTAGTACACAAGGGCTTCAAACAAAGAAAGACATTTCCAAGTTAGGGTTCGTGGCTCTTGGTTTGGGTTACTTCTACCCGGTGCAGCTGACCTGGCAGACTCTTCAGTAAGATGGATTAAATGAATACTGAGCAGTGCATAACTCTTTTTGCTTCTTGTGTTTCTTGCTCAACGGAAAAACTATGACAAATTCTGTACAGGTATCTCCCTCTCCCCCTGGATAACAAATTCATGAAGTTTGGAATGCACAGGATTCTGTGTACAGCACACACCTATAGCAAAAGGATGATTGTCTATGTCACTATGTTTATACTCGTAGATGCCATCAGTATACCTGTAATCCTTGCGCCATATTCACGTTGTAAAGATGATAAGTGCATGAAATGCACAAATGTCATGCACTTTCCCATCTTTACAACGTTCAATAAATCAAGTCACCTGTAGATTACCTCAATACTTCATACATCTCGCATGAGACCCAGTCGTTCTAATTCTAACTAGTCGTGCCTTGCGCAAAACTCAAGAATCACTGTCTTTCCTGATGACCGAATGTACGTGATTCATAGATTCCTATCGATACTCCTTAGACCGGTATTTGGCCCACAGCTTCCCCTCTTCTCGAGATGTTGACTACTGACTGTTGACTGCTTTCATTGATGGTCTGGAACATGAATAAGAGTTCTAAGCGTTTCCTACAGGTGCGTTTGGGGACGTCTGAAAAGGCATGGCTCTTGTCTCCCAAAGACGAATCACGTATGCTTCCTTGTCCTCGTTGTAAACCTGATCTAAATTTACAATCTTGAAAGTATGTTTTCCCCTAGTATAGTGATGGTGGAAGACCGCCACTATACATGTTACACCATTTTCTGTCAGAAGGTCCCTCTATGAAAAAGCTGTACTTATGTAATTGAATAGTGGAAATTACCTGTCTACTGTTCTAAGTATCTATGCCTAGCTTCTACCTTTTCCAATGGTTACAAAATTCTTACATACCTTTCAAATACACCTAAATATACAACCCATGTAACTTATCTCCGAGTAGCCAGCTCACAAGGTCAAAGCGAAGTTCACATCTTCGTGGCCGAGTGTCGACTCGGTGTCATCAATCTTCACCCATGAGTTTCCCTCCTTTCGGTATTGAGGAACAGCAAGAGTCAGATTAAGAGGAGAACTGGCTTCTGAGATCTGGGATTCATCTTTGATACTGGGAGCTGATGAAAATCCGGGAGGCTCGATGAACCTGCAAGGGGTAACATCCGGACTACTTTCTGCATCATCCTGCAGAACAAACAGAGGCAATTGTTCCACTAGACTTTGAGTCGACTTACGGTCCTTACCACCCAGACCTAGTTCAAGATTGGGGATGGGCTCAGACTCTTTCAAATCATTCGCTCTTCCTACTTCCAGAGGAAAAAACTGATAACCAGAGGAATCTGTCGTCTTCTCTTCTTCCCACGACCTCGAGCTGATGTATGTTTCTGTTGCCGTATGCTTTTGCAGCAAGTCGAATGTGCTCGAACTTGTGCCTGGAGATGGGAGGCCCTTAGGAAAAAATGGTCGGGCAGATACGTCCTCGTTCGTATCGACTTCCAAGGGCTCTGTGGATTCGGCTGACAGAAACACGTGGAGATACGGAACAGCACTTTTTTCTCCGTCGTTCTGTAACTCCTCCACATCCCCTTCAGGTCCATTCATGTCCAGAAACGGTATCGGGGTTTCCGTTCTCGGTTCGTTCGGACTAGACTTGAAGAACCCTTCTCTAAGAAACAAAGGTATGAGCTCTACCTGCTTTCCGGCCTTCGCAGGATATCCTTTTCTTTGTGTAGATGCCTCGGAGATTCTAGCCTCCTCTCCAAAAGTCTTCACATCTCCTTCACGGTTCTCAATACGAGGAGTAACTCTTCTGAACACAACACTTCCTTCATTTGATTGTTCTCTGCTGTCCCCACGTCTTTCTATGGAAGTTAACTTCCGCGAAGGTCTCTCATAGTATGAATCTGGAGAGTCGGAATGAGATCTCGACCTATGCTTTGGTCGGACTTTAGCCGTACTTCTCCTTTTTCTGGGGGAACCAGACGGCGAACGAGGCCTTCGTTTAGATGCTGATCGAGAGCGTGAGCGTGATCGAGAGCGTGAACGAGATCGAGCATGGCGACGATGTTTGTTCTCTCTGGGTCTATCAACCCGATCTTTATACCTGTACTCTTTGACTTTATCCCTCTCTCTGACCACTAACCTATCCTTCTCACGGTCCCTCTCTCGGTCTCTGTCCCTATCTCTGTCCCCTCCTCGGTCTCTGTCCCTCCGTCTATCTCTATCCCTGTCTTTATCCCTTCCCCTGTCTCTTGAATGATAACTTTGCCTCCCAGCGCTCGAGTCTCTAGTTCTATCTCTGTATCGTGTTGGTGATTTCGAACTTGACCGTGAAAGCCTGTGCACTGAACCCCGTGAGTGACCAAAACCTGAGTCTTCATTGAACTCCTTCGGACTGGGGCTTGGAGCGAGCATAGGTGAGGCTTGTCGCGAGTACGGTCTCCTTTCTACAGCACTCTTCTCTCTCTTTACGGATTCGAGCTGCTGGTGGCTGTTCTTCTCCGGGTTCTCGACTTCACCTCCATTCCCAATACTACTGTCACCTTTGCTGTTCACCTGCATAGGAATTTAAACGCTATAATAATTACGTTCAAATCCGATTCCCCTCAGTAATGATGCACACTTATGCTCGTTTCGTGACAGTCATCATAGATTGCCTGATTCTACGTACGTTAGCAGATAAACACGGTTCCAGAAACAAAGACTTTCATAGTTGCTTGGGCAATACGAGAGAAGTATCATGCAGAAGTTCTAAAGAGTCACGTTCTTGCATCATATATCCTTCACATAGAATGCTCTTTCGGAACAGATATAGGCGTTTGCTTTTCTCAACAGTAATCTGAAATAGAGACCTAGGTTGACAAAAGCAAGGCCGCCTTCTGTTCTCGGTTATGTTCAGAAGACATGACAGATGGAAAGACCCAAATTTACTCATCGGAGTCACCCATCACTAGAATATCAACATCCTTGTTAACAGAAGCACGACATCGACAATTACCTGTGAGTTCACTGCCAAACCATCTCTGACCTTGGCGAATCCAGGTGGCCCACTTGGGATGGGCGATTCACAGCTCCGAGTTCCACCAAGAGAACTGTCAAACGCTGGACATGAGGGGGCTGCAGGAGATCCATTTGCCGGTGTTTCGAAACCCGGAGGCGTAACTGAGACCAGAGGTAAATTTCCAGCAGATCCGACGGGAGAAATTTCAAATCCCGGAGGACCAAAAGGCGGTGAACCTATTGGAGGGGGTGGCAACTGCAATGGTGCAGGTCCACTTTGATTTGTATCATAACCTGCTGGCTCCGACGGTTTGGGCGGGAGGATTTTTTGATTTGATCCATTTGCAGTGTTATTAAAGCCAGGAGGTCCTACTGGCTGAGGATAATTTTGTACCACGGGACCTGCAGCTGATGAACTCTGAGGCAGATGGGGACCAACCTGTGGGGACACCTGCTTTTGAGGAGGTCCAAAGCCAGGTGGAACGTCCAAGTCTGCCGAGCTTGTCTCGCTTGGAGTTGAATCCTTCTGACTGGTATCTTCGCCCCTTTTACCATCCTGTAGACTTATTGCCACATGTCCAGGTGGTGGAGGTTGAACAGGAGCCGGCTCACGAGGTAGAGGAGGACTCGGTTGGCTATTCGGCTGATCCCAACCTGATTTTCTAGCAGGCCTCTCAGGCACTCCCAGTTCTTTGTCTCCAATCATATCAATTTCCATGTCTGCCTCCCCAGAATCACCACTAGTGGGGGCTACCATTGTCTGTGGTCCGGGCTGCTTCTCCGTCTGGACTCCTCCAGGACCAAGCCTTGAAGGTGTCTGCGAGAGAGATACAGATGCTTGCCCGGAGACCTCTACAGATTGTTGCGTCGAAAGTGCATTCAACTTCTTGGCTCGATAGACACCCCAAAGAAACGGCTTGTTTTTCCAACCTGCGGAAGTGTAGTCAGCAGTTCATGAAATTAGGTCTATAGATAATTCATTTGAAACAAGAGCTATTCGGGAAGATAATCACAGTGGACAGAAAACCTGTCGTCCAGAAGGGCAGTACGATTTTAAACTTACGGTGATAGTCTGCGGGAAGCAAGTGAGAAGGAAATATAAGTATCTCTGCGCGGTCAACCTGACCCATCAGGACGAGATCGTTGGTCATCATATGCTCCACAAGACTCCAGTAAGGTTTATCAGAGCTGCAGCCATATGTACATTTGATCTGGATTTAGCTGGGCAATCTCTCGCAAAGAGAACATGATCCACAATATACCACTATTCTTTAAAGGCAACCAAAAACAGATCTATCCAAGGAATATAAAAGATAATTGGATCGCAGTCAGTTTCCAGAACATGAACTGGGTACACACTCATTTCCGATGTCAGGTTCGGATGTTCAATGCACGTAATGTTTGTTCGTTCCACTCTGTGTCAGAATTCACAGTGTGGTTAAAATGTATGATTAATCCGCACCTTTCACCCCCCGGAAAAAAATAGAGCGCTATTTCTTTATCAGTGGGTGGCTTTAGCTGAAATTGCTTCGGCCATGCATCGCCGTTGAGCATACGCCTGACTTCCTCCAGTTGCAGTATCGGAGGCAACAGCTTTGTCAATGCTCGAACTTTGGGCGCTGCAAAGCTGGATGAAAATCCTTCCAGTCCACCGTAGAACGCTGGAGATGTATCTGAAACTACTTCAAACCCACCACTGCAGCCCCAGACTGGATGATTAGAGCCTGACATATAGCTAGTGATACTTCATACTGATTGCAGGTATCTCTTGCAAAGTGCTCCGAACAAATTATCTAAACAATTTTAGAAGCCACTAGATTCCTAAAGGTAACTAATCGGTTTTCATCATGCTGATCAAGATATGTGTAGTGAGAGTTAGACACAGTATCACGTGACAAAATCATGATAATGTGAGGTAACAAAAACATCGTTTCATTCTTTTCTGGTTCTTTAAAAAATTCAGTCTCGAATTCACGAAAGACTGCTGAGTGTCATAAGAATGAAGTACCTCCAAAGGCACTGGGTTTCTGGCACTGCAGCAGGACCTGGGCTCATGAAAGGAGGACCTGGAGGCGGTCCTGGTCCATAGATCGTAGTTCCAACTGAAGTTCCACTCGTGTCCTGATTGAAAATGCCTTCGAAGGGAAAGGTCGGGCGAGCTCCAATAGGGAAAGGGGCTGGAAACGTCCCCCAAGAGACCAAATCTGGTATGCCAGGGTACCGTTGTTGCGGCCAGCCTGACATGAGACTTGAAAAAGGAGGTACCACATTCGCACTTACAATAGGTGGCTCCAAAGGACGAACAGCCATACTTGCACCTGGTATCGATGGAAGTCGTGCCAGAGGATTCACTGCAACATGAGAAGCTTGACTTTTCTCTTTCGAGCAATTCCGAGGCACATTTTCAATTATGGCAGTTTCAGAATCAGGCTTTGGAGATTCCCTCACTCCTAAAGCAGGTGTGAGATTGCCAGTTGAAACGCCAGGTGCAGTTATACCACTCTGAGTCAGAACCGGGGCAAGATGTCTAACCTGGTTCCCGGACTTCGCGGTAGATACTTGAATAAATTTGGCATCCTTCGGAAAGCTGCTTCCGACCTGTTCACCTGAAATTGATTTGGTGACCACATTTCCAGCAGGAACACCGTATCCCAATGGACTACTCTGGCCGGAAACCCTGGCAAGATTGCGAGCTTGGATGACAGACAGTCCACCTTGTCTAGGTAGCTCTTCCCTATCATGTAGAGCTGTCGTTTCAGCTGTATTACCTGGTGAGCTTCTTGAGGTCACCTGCTCAACCTCTGCTGGAGAATCGGACAGAAAAATGGATCCCGATTTTATGGGTACCGCTTTGGTGACCGACGTAGCACCATTAATCGAAGGCACACCCGTCTGACTCTGTGACAGAACGCTATTATGTCGAGGCCCTTTTAAGACGCTTGAGCTTGCCCCTCCTACGTTCTCTCTGGGATTCTTTAACGCTGACAGAGGGGACGGATTAATGGTCGAGCCAACTTCCAAATAATTAGAAGATGGAGTGCTACGATTACTGCAATTTTGCGCAGTATGTCCCCACTCCTTACACTTATAGCACCTAGTACTCCCCATAGTAGGACTATTCTTGAGAGCAGACCAGCACCCTTCAGAAATGTCAATCCGCTTCGCGTCCTTAGCCCTACTCAGTAAGCCCTTCGGATTACTGGTGGCATCTTCAGCCATAACCGTATTCTTTACTATAGGAACTTTCGATGCAGTGGAACTAGGAAGACGCCTCTCTGATTCATCAGATACTTTAAACGCAGACTTTTGCATCGATATAGACCTCAGAGCCTCACTTACGTCCACACCTGATTTTGTCCACAGCAAAATTCTGAGCGAGTTAGTTTAATTACGCAAAGTTCGAGCTGAGATTCCTCTTATGTTTTCACACCTTCTGTTGTACCTCTTGTATAGACAAGAACATCCAGGATCATGTTATTCAACATCTAAACCTCTGCAACCTTGTTCTTCTAGAATATACATAGAAGAGACCGAGGTGTGATGCGACAGGATGAACAATGCGGAACGTCACCAAACCATCGACAACATGGAGGACAACAGGCTTGAGAATAAAAAATTAGACACCTTGTTAACCAAGATTGGGACCATTTACGAAATTAGTCGCATTATGTTTTTCTATCCTGAGAATCTGTACAATAATATACAATCCCATGAAAATGGTTATTAGTATAAGTTTGTCAAACCCTGAATGTTAGCATATCTATAAGTTAGAAGTATTAGACATGCTAACAGATATTTCATATGCTTGGGACATTTGGGCTACGTTGAAATCTGTAGGTAAGATTGGTATATTTGCATATGCTAGACTAAAATGGACAGAGATGTTCTGCTTAAACCCTGAAGGTGTGAATGCACATATGGCCAAGTTAAATCTCAGTTTCTCTAAGATTTGTGCATTAGACACAACCATGAAATGAGGGTGAATGGTTGTGCCTGATGCACAACCATTCAGCCTCATTCAAATGTTGAGAATCTCCTGAATAGTTTGCCAGAGAAGTTTGAGCCTCTTGTTTTCTCCTCTGATGCTCTTCCTGAGGAGCAAGTAACCTGGAATTATACGTACAAGAAGGTAGTAACATATGCAATAAGGTTTGAGAGAGTAGCTGCTTTGGCTGCTGCTCACGAGCAGAAAGTGCGTGGAGAAAGTGGGTCAGCAAAGGGCAGGGAAGTGTGGTGAGAAAGTGCATATAGGGTTTCAGTGCCCAAAGTGGAAGAGGAAGAGGAAAAGTGGCTTCAAATCTTTCAAGCTTGAGGAGAAAAAATATCATCAAAAACATACGAAGTATGGGAAGAAGAAAGAGAGTGCCCTCTTGGCTGAAGAATCTTCGATATTGACACTTATTACAGGATAGATATCCCGGATAGTACCTACATTCAGCATGCAAATCTCATATGCAGTTTTCATATGAGCTCTGAGATTCACCAATGTCGCAACATGAAGCAGATATTGAAATTTAAAGTGTGAACAGGGACAAACATCACACTATGTTACTGCAGAAAGTCAGGCATGTGCCTGATTTTGTCAGAAATCTGATATCAGTGAACAAGCTCATTCAAACTGGATATGATGTGCATTTTTTTTTCCGAGGAGATTCGAGAACCATAAGAAAGGACGGAAGAGTTGTATGCTATGGATTTTATAATTGCAACCTACTTAGGCTGTTGGAAGTGAAGTACAAGACATCAGAACATGCTAATCTTGCATATGAGCATTCAAATGAGGTTGAGGCATAGAGGATTGGGACATCTTTTTGAGCCTAACATGACATTATTGGAAAGGATGATGGATCGTGTGGATTATACAAAGAATCACTAAAATTCAGCGATTCTCGTGCTATGTATAAGTCACACAAGACACGATTCTCTAAAAAAACATCAGATAAATCAGGAGTTATTGGAATTCATAAATTCAAACCTATAAAGTCTGTTAGAAGTATTACTGCCCTACTAACTTCTACTTACTACACTCATGAGAAAGAACACTCATGAGTAAGTACGTGTGTATCTGTAATCATAGTTAGTGGTTGTACTTGTAATCATAGTTAGTGGTTGTAACCGTTAGTCACAACCACTAGCTGTAACTGTTAGGGTTTTCCTGTGAGATCTACTGTATCTCGCATCAGGGTATATAACCCCCATTCGGGTCCCTCCTCTTAATTCTACGCTTGAGGTCTTGAATCCCGTCTAACTCTCTCTCCAACGTCAGCTACGGTGTGGGCCGGAGCAGAACTGGGACAGTGAAGTGAACACGTTCAGAAACGAAGTGCAGGTGCAGAGTAGAAGCTATCAAGAGTCTAAAAGAAGTGTCGCTCTGATACCATATAAGATAGATCAGATCACACAGGCACTCTCATGTTCTGAGGAAGTATGAACAGAATGTTAAAGGGGGAACCCGAATGGGGTTATATACCCTGATGCGAGATACAGTAGATCCCACAGGAAAATTCTAACAGTTACAACGGCTGGTCGTGATTGTGGTTGTGACCGTTAGTCACAACCACTAACTATGATTACAAGTACACACGTACTTACTCATGAATGTCCAATCGCTTACAAAAGCATACAAGGTGCACAGTGGATCTTACTTCCACAAAAATCAAGAGAGTTTTGTGTACTAGTTGAAACACAAACATGAGGTCTTGGATAGATTCAAAGCCTTCGTAAACATGGTAGAGATTCAGACAGGGAAGAAGATGAAGAAAATTAGGCCAGATGAAGTCACACAATACATGAATCACAAATATTGTGATGGTATGAAGTTGGGGAGATGATCATAACAGCAGTAGATCTACAAGTGCCAACCTGTTTATTCTCTGAGATGGAGCTATCAGTTGGGGAAGTAAACAACAGAGGTCAGTAACTTCATCTACAGTGAAAGCTGAGATCATGGCTCCTTCATGGGCAACTCTAGAACTAACTTGGTAAAGACGAATGTTGAATGCGCTTGCATTTCCTCAACAAGCTGCAACTATACTTGATGTGTAATAACACTGGAGCTATAGCACATTCAAAGAATCTGGTTCATAATCCTAAGACCAAACATTTTCTATTAAAAGAACTTTGTTCTGAAGAAACAGGAAGAAATAACTGTCAAACTCAAGACATGACTGTTCATGTACTTACTCAAGCGATTCCAAAGGTGAGAAATAGGAATTGCATACTAGAAATGAAAGTGAGAAAATTTTTAAGGGAGTGATCAATATAATCATCTCGAAAAAAGTTTCATTGCTTTGATGTCAAACTTTAACTTCTAGTTAGAGAGTGTTAATTAGGATTAGCCGCCATCTTTAAGCTAGATTAGGGTGTTTTTCACGATTCAAGTCCGAGACAAATAGTATATATTCACTGTATTTTTTTTAGAATATGCAGAGATTGTTTTGTTTTTTGTAAGAGATTGTGTGTCTACATCTTGGAGTGTTCTCTTTGAGTGTTTTCCTTTAAAGTTAGTTTCAGTAGAGTGTTGTCGATCTGGAATGTGATCTGTGATCATATAAATAGAAGACGTTACAATCATTTGCTATATGTATGATTCACGATACCTTCACAGAAACATGTTAAAATGAGAGCTAAAACATATTAGGACATCTGAAGAGGAGAGTATGATTCCAAAGTAAATACATCACATCAGCTGGCACCAATTATCGCATACCTGGAGGCCGCAAGCTTTCCAATTTTGAGAGCTCTCCAGCGTCTTTTCCTTTTGAAATTGTTCCTTCACCTGTCTTCACTTCCAATTCCGATGTCGGAGGGGCACTTCTTGGGAAAGTAGTCTTTGCCGTATGGATGTTCACAGAACCAGGAAATTTTGATCCCACTAAACTAAGCGAATCAATACGTGTTTCATCCAGCCGGAACCTTCTGGTGCTATCAATCTCCTCATTAGACCTGTAAGCTTCGTTGTATAACTGACTTACTTGAGAGGCTTGTTGTTGACCAGAGGTTCCACTAGAGTTAAGGCTCTGAGTTCTCAGTCTTTCCACGGCGGGTACCAGCCCAGTCGCATCAGGAGGTTGCGAAGCAGTATTTAAATCACCTCTAGGTCGAGGGCTCTTCATTACAGAACCTGAAGACTGTGAACTCGGTCTTGGTGTATCAGCCCACTTGCTGTACTCAGGTACTCCATGTAAAAATGGACTACCCTTCGCCTGTTTGCCAAAATTTGAACCAACTCCTCTCACATTTCCCCCACCTAACGAGCTATCTCTGCCGGAAGGAGGTAATCCATTTCCATCAACAGCATCTTTTGCCCTTGACATGGCACTACCCTTCCAACTGCTTGATCTCATAAATGATGGGATTGTTTCAGTCGACCTTTGCGACCCTGCTCCTCTATTTGAAGAGAGAGGGGACGGAGTTGTCAAAGGGAATGCTGAAGAACGGGGTGTGATCACTGGACTGGCTTGTTTGTTTCCAGCTAAATGATGGCTGGAGAGAGCATCATTGTGACTACTGTTAGCTGATGTGAATCGGCTCTTGTTGCCTGACAGTCCCATTGGACTCGCGCCTGGTCTTGACGAATGAGAAAGAGATCCAGCTGATCCACTGGATTTTCCTGAATTCCTGACAACACCGCCAACCGGAATACTGGCCAGAGCATTTGGTGAGAGGAATTTCACTTTTCCTGAATCAGGAATTTTGAAAGACCCCTCTCTAGAGAGACCACGGCCTGCCAAACCCATGTTTCCAGGAACAGAAGTAACTGCATTCTCCAAAACTTGTTTCTTAGCGGGAACAGGATTCACTGCCTCCTCCGCTGGTCTTTTATCAGAACCAGGATGATTGGGTGCACCTTTAGTCGCTCCCTTTTTTTGAGGACTTCCCTTTCCCTTGTCTAAGCGGGCAGACAATCTCGAACGTGTATTTCCCTTAGTCGGTGACTTCTTCTTTGGGCTTCCATGAGTCGCTCCAGGCGATACAAGATCAGAGATCTGCCGCTCCCCTTGCCTCGTATTTCCAGCAGTCTCTTTCGCTTTACAGACTTCACACATCCACCCATCAACAGGTACTGCAACAAGTAGAGCCTGCATACAGTAGCTGTGCAGAAAATTTGCCCAGCAAGGGTTTCGGATGAAGTTAAAAAAATGGCATTATACCTCACATGCAAAAAGAAGCAGATTTGCTTTCACTTCAGATACACATTATATCATTACATAACATTCATTTGTCGGGAGGCAATTCGATGTAGCTCGTAAACTGCGAAAAGTCTTCCTTCTACACAACGAGATGCCTCCTATAACATTAAGGTCTTGACGCGGAAGCAAAAGCAAGTTTCCATAACTCACGTGTGTTCTGCACCTTCGTTGCATGCACTACATACAGCGAGGCATTCCTCATAACCAGGATCTCCACATATATCACACACCTTGATCTGAAACATGACATTGTGGTCAGCCTTAATACATAACATCGTGAGGGTTGATGGAAACGTCCCTATATAACGTCTGATCAAATGAACGTCCAAAAAAGACTCTTTCAGGTTAGAGATTGAATTAACACGTGATCAAGTGCAAGGCAAGGAGACCGCAGAGCACAAACCGGGGAGGTACAACCATAGTGGCTCTATTTAAGGCTATAGCCCGATGCATTGGGACTATCAAGCAATAACGAACAGGCCCGAAACATGGCATAGCATGCCATACCCGGGACTGTCTGACAGAATCCAAGCCTACACAAGGGCCCGTCGGAACAAGAAAACGCAGTAGCAAAATGAGAAAAGCTAGCGTGGTCCGCATTCTTGATTTGGCTATGGTTGCCATAGCAAGAGCGCCGAGACCGGAAAATCTTTAAAACCTCAAGTGATACAGTTAAGACATCAATCTGAACAAGTCGACGTATTCGACGGCAGGCATACATGAAATAGTGAGCTGCAGAAATGGGGAAGTAGGCAGCTACTATCAATGGTATGAACTGCACTTATAAGAGATGCGATAAACATGGCTAGAAGACAAACGAATGCGTATGCGCTGCAGAACAATGTGCGATATGGTTCTTCCACTCCCATCCGAGACAAGGAGCCAGAAAATCAAGATCTAGCGACGGGCATCAATCCAACATCACAAGATCCCGGTTACTCCATCACTGAGTACCGCGGTGAATTGGTACTATCTTCACATCTTCTGTCCAACTGCTCTCTGCTTGTCCGAATCAGAAGTTTAAACTAAATGAACTAGGGTAATATTGAACCTATCCATACAAAATCAGCATGTAACTATCGGACAACTGAGCATACCACCTTACGCGTAGAAAGCTTACGATGCAATATTGGAAGATAAAGATAATTTGGTAGTCAGTATCGTTGGGAGATTAACACAACTTTCAAACCCAGCACAAGCCCAGATATAAGCTACGCTGTCAGTAGGTTATTCACTCATGAAATCTCCAAACAATTGACAGACCCATGAAATCCAGCTAGAAGAGAACATATTGAGGTCCTACTTCTAAAGATCGCACGATATATGGATGGTTCAGACTGCATGTGCCTCTAAGTACTGAAATACTGTGCACTCCTCAGGTGTCCTTTTTCTGCACATTCTCTCTGAAATATGTGGTTATGATGCACTGCAATAAAGAGGAATATTACTTTCCTGCCACCTCGGAGTGGCTGAATGAACACGAAGGTGACTACAGAATAACATGTGCCACTCATTACATGCTTGCTGATGTTATGACATATCCTTCGTCAAGGATAATTTAGTTAGACAGCTCAGAAAGATCAGGTTGCCCTCATCCTACTGACCATATACAAAGACAGTCGATATGAATTATGGTTTACGCTAGCCATGCGAAGGTCTTTGTGTGAAGAAACTGAGAAGCAAAAAATTCCAAGTTTTACCTCGCTACTTCTAATCTATGAATTTTTCATGAATTTCCGATGTTCATATGAGTACTGAATTAAACGTATTCTGAACAAACATCGTTCAAAGCTAATTAGCTACAATCAATATATATGTAGAAGTGATAAAGACAACACAGCGGAATATACGACTTACATCTTCAACTTCCTCCACAGAAGACGAATTTGCTGATTCTTTGATGGACACGTCCTCCTCCTCCGCAGAACTCGTCCTCAGAGTACCAGGTATATCGACTTTTAATCGCGTCTGATTTGATGTGGGTGGTGTATTTAAGGAAGAAAAAGTTTCCTTAACAAACTCGGTATCTTTGCTCACGTTCACCATGGAATCGGCAGTCGGAATTCTGTGGGGGACTTTTGCTGTTGATACATGATTAACATTATCCATAGTCGACTTACCGTCTACAAGAGGCGATTGCCTGCTTGCGGGAGGAGACAACGCCTTCGGAGCTTCATTGGTGATTGCGACCCCGGCATAGGCCTCAACAACTTCAGGAACTGGAGCCGATATGGCATTTAGCGCTTCTTCGTCAGTAAGAGCCAATTGTCCCTCACAAGGATCAAAGGTTTTACCGTCAGAAGGAGGCCCTCTTCCACGCATTTGAGACTTCCTTTCAAGACTCTCCGAGCTTATTCGGTTGTTTGGAGGAGTTGCAACGGTAATATCCCCCAAACTCAAGGATTTGGCAGTACTGCTACCACCTTGAAGTGTCGTGGTAGCGTCAACTACCTCTACAGGACTCACTGCACCAGAAGTATGACCCTCAGCATGTAAGGTTGGCGAACTCTGAGGGAGCTGATGATCTACTCCTCGATTAACAAGACCCCGAGAAGGAAGGGTAACTCTTGGCATGGACGACGTGCTCTTTATTGAGCTCGAAGTTTGATGCAAATCATCGAGGGTACGAGATCCAGCGGCGCCGGAAGATGCTTCGCCAGATAAACCTTCAACGCAACAATTTCCTGAGCTTGCGATTGAAGGGTTTGAGATGGCATTCAGATCATCAGGGAATTGAGAAACTACGAATGAGGAGGTGACGTCTCTAGATTGCGGTGCTTTCGAGCTCTTCCCTTCACCTAAGGGATTGCCCCCTTCAGCAGTAGCATCACAGTTAACAGATGGAGTCCCCTCCTTCACCAATTCGGGCAATGGTGCAGCACTTAGTACGTTTTGTGGCATTTGACATTCTTCAACTGCAGACTTGACAACTTGCCGGAATTGAGTCAATTCCTCCGTACTCAAAGACTTACTGCCGTCGGGAACACCAACAAGAATTTCATCGACTTGAACCCCGCCAGCAACGTTGTTGTTCATTGACTTGCTCGCGAAGGGTAAGACATGATCTACACCTTGCCCCTTCAAATCCAGACGGTCTACGGAAGCTAACATCGTTGTCATATTTCTCGCCTCAGTTGCCCCACCAGGATGTCCTTTACTGAACACTCTATCATCACTATTAGACACACCCTGTCCGACTACAAGGGACCCATCCGACTTATCTTGGATACAAGGCTTTGACTGCGTCTCCATCGCAATGTCATCTCGGTCTCCACAAACTGCGTCTTTTACTAGCTTAGACTGATCACTCTTAGTATCTGCTAGCTCCAAGACGTCGACTGGCAGATATCTCGAAGACTCTCCAGAGTCTTCTCCTGCCGTATCGCTTCTAGTCAGATCTAGAGGCTCAATCCTTGCATCTCGACTTTCGAATCTCGCTACCTGCGGACAGTCGGCTTGGTCCAGAGAAATAGCACCCGCAACACTCTCGCAACAATTTTCACTTTTGAGAGTCACTGAATATGTAGCTGGAAGTGACTCACTGATCTCGACAACAGAGAGGGAATCTCCCAGATTATCTGTCTTCAACGAATCCATAGCAGCTTCAGCACCCGTGGCACTTCTTTCGACGATACGTCCAACTGGAGTGATCTTTCCTGTTCTGCGAACACAATTTTCTGCAGCGGTATCGTTTTCCTCACTGTTCTTCGACTCAGCTTCAAAGTTCTTTTCAACTGATTTCAAAGGAGACTTGTGGGGTAGGCTATCCTCATACTTCCCTGCTACTTGAGTCTCCAATTTGACAGCTAATTCGGATTGAGGTTCCAAAGACAAAGAACTTCGCTCAATGACCAAAATCTTCTGGTCCTCAGGTAAGACTAGCTTTGGATCCTTAACGTCCTTCCCAGAGCTAAGGTCTTTCAGCCCCCTAAACTTCTCTATTTTCATGCCAAGCTCATCTTCTTCATCCGTTGATGCTCTTGACCTTCCTAGCGCGCCTTTGTCGCAATTTCGGCTCGTGTGCTCAACGCTTCTTCGTTTATTTGGGTGAAGACCTCCAACTGGTTTGTAAGGTCTTCCCCTCTTACTCCGTCTGACAGGTTCGGGAGGTAGGGACTGTTCACTGGATTCTCCTCGTCCACCCTTGCTCCTACTGCTATCTTCTGAGATAAAGCTCCCTGCAGTTTCTACAACATAATTGTGTCCCTTCTCGAATGAATCGGCAGTTTTCACAACATCATTCTCGCTAGCTATACTTTTACTTCCTTGCTGTGAAGTCTCTTGAGAACTAGAGAGTGCTGATCCTTTTGAACCAAGATCCTGTCTGCCAGGTAAAGATTCCGCTTTTGAAGGAGTTGACTTCCTGCGATGAACACTGGAAGGTTTGAAAGAAGCCTCACTCGGCCGTTGCTGCAGACTACTCAATTCATGACACTGCTTGCAGAGACGATCCACAGGCAGCAATGCCTGCAGTGAACAAATGATAAAAATGATCAACAATGGTGCTCACTTCAAAACTCCCTTCTCCATCGACTTCATTTTCTTCTATTGAAAAAAAACTTACATTACTTTGTACCAGAGATGGGGAGCTCTTGACGTTTAGACAAAGGTGTTTAAACTCCTTACTTCACCAAGAAAAGAAGGTAAGCAAACTGCTAACGATCTAATTTTGTTAGAAGTATTACTACCAACTTCTTGGTAGTCTGATAAATAACGTGTGTACTTTGTACTAAGTCAGTGGTCGTGACACTTAGTCAAGACCAGCCGATGTGCATTAGGGTTTAGGGTCCTGTATCTCTCGGATGGGGTATATTAACCCCATCCAAGTTCACTTCCCAATAACACACTATTCATTCTGGTGAAGAATGAATAGTGTGTTAGAGCTTATCTATCTAATATGGTATCAGAGCAGGCTTCCTTTTCGACTCTTGATAGCTTCTCCTCTGCACCTCTGCTTCCTATCTGAACGCGTTCACTTTACTTTCCGAGTTCTGCAGCTGCCCACACTGATGCAAACGCTGGTGAGACTGTTGGGCAATATTCAGTGCCTCTAGCGTTGAATTGAAGGGGGAGTACAAAAGTTTCTTACTTTCTTGAAATTTTCAAAGTTTCAAGAACTTTTAGTGCGTTTTAAGAGTGTGTTCTGTGAAGATGACATCTCAGGGGCCTCAACACGAGGCGTATGGAAAGAAGCCCTCCCCAAATTCAATGGAGAGCACTTCTATTCTTGAAAGAGCAAGATGGATTGGAGATGGGAGCAAGTCCTTCAACTCGAAGGACTAATGGACATTATGGAGGACAAGGAGACCCGGCCAACCACTCTTCCTGGATCTGAAACCTGTACAACCGCGTCAGGACCAGGGAATAAGAAGGAATGGGACGACAGAAATGTCCTTTCCTTAGCTATTCTCCTACATCAAAAGGATATCGCTTACAACGAAAGGACAATCAGAAGATTTTTGAGAACAGATCTGTCAGATTTGTGCCTCTTGCGATTTGGCATCCGCATACTACAGTTGTTCCGCCCACTGAGCAAGAAGGATTCGCTCCATTTGGCCCTATCCCATCAGTTGCTGATCCAGTTCGCAGGTTCCCCATCCGCCAAGATCACCAGCGGAACGGCCACCAGCAGTGGGAGTATTCACACCGGTTACACCATCACCTGGAGTGGGAGTCCCATCATCTCCTTCCACACCCTCCGTGAGTCATCCTCCCGCAGCTGAAATCCCTGCCTCTCATCCGGCCCATTTTGGCCAGACTTACCAGAGGCACACATGGAGGCAACGAGAGAATCCTGTCTGTTCTACTCCTCTTGTGGATTCGGTTTGCAACCTCGAGCACTTGCTGGATGAACTCCAGCTTCGAGACACTACATCTGAGACTCCGGCCACAGATACAGCTTCGGGAGCAGCTTCTTCCTCTTCCCGCACCATCGATCCTATCTTTCGAAAAGGGGAAATAGTACGAAAACTTGTCGAAAAATATGATTTTCTGTTGGAGAAGAAAGAGCATCGAGGTCTCTTTTCATATGAAGAGACTTGCAAAGAGCCTACTCCTTACCAGGACGCCTTGCAGAATGGTGATTCCATTAAATGGAAAGAAGCCCTGGAGGAGGAATTTTCCTTCCAAAAATCAAACCTGGACGTTGACGGAGTTACCTGCGGGCAAGAACGTTGTTGGCTGTAAATGGATTTACAAAATCAAGTACAAGCCCGACGGGTCTGTTTGTCGATACAAGGCCAGGTTAGTAGCCAAAGGCTATTCACAGGTTTATGGTGTTGATTTTTCGGAAACATTTTCTCCTGTGCTGAAGATGACATCCATCAGGGTGTTAATGGCTCTAGCAGCTCAATAAAATTTAGAGCTGCACCAGATGGACGTGAAAACTGCATTCCTGAACGGGCGGTTGGATGAAGAAGTCTACATGGCCCTTCCTGAGGGATTGAATATCTCTTCTGAGAAAAACATGGTGTGTAAACTGAATAAGTCCATTTATGGACTGAAACAATCCCTACAACAGTGGTATCAGAGGATTGACTCGTTCTTACTGCATATTGCCTTTACCAGGGATCAGATCAGAATGTTTACATTTACTCTCAGGAGAATACAATTGAGTATTTAGCACTGTATGTGGACGACTGTATACTAGTAAGCGATTCCTTGCGTCTCCTCACAAAGATCAAGGAGAAACTTAAAACGGAGTTCGAAATGGTGGACTTAGAAGAGATCCATCATTCTCTTGGTATGCAAGTTGACAAAAATAGTGAAGAAGGGTGGATTCGGATCTCCCAACCACGATATTTGGTTGAAAAGCTTGCGAGGTTCAACATGGCTGACTGTAAGCCTGTTTATACTCCTATGGAACCCGGTTTGAAGTTAGGTGTGCTTGACTCTCCCAATTCAGTGGGAGAAAGCGAAGAGGTGAAAGATATTCCATATCAAGCTGCTGATGGGAGCTTGATGTGGGCTATGGACTGCACTAGACCCGATATATCTTTTGCTGTCAGTTCTGTGGCTCAGTTTATGTCAAATCCTGGATTGACACATTGGAAGGCAGTTAAGAGGATTTTCAGATATCTGAAAGGAACTCTCTACTTTGGCCTTGTGTTCAAGAGGGTTGACAAACCATCCGGTTTAACTGGATATTCCGAAGCATACTGGGGTGGTTGCCTTGACATGAGACGATCGACCTCTGGCTGTTGTTTCCAACTCAATGGCGGAACCATTAGTTGGACATCAAAGAAACAAAAGTCAGTGGCGCTTTCTTCTACAGAAGCAGAGTACATGGCTTTGTCCAAGGCGGGAGCTGAAGCTATGTGGTAAGAGAATTACTGACCGATGTAGGTTTTGAGCTGGAGTCGACCACTATTTTCTGTGACAACCAAAGTGCGATCTCACAAATAGAGAACCGTAAAAATCACGAGAGATCTAAGCATATTGACATTAGATATCATTTTGTCAGAGATCTGGTCACCAGTAATTTGGTGAAGTTAGTTTATGTTCCAACTGAAGAGATGATTGCTGATATTATGACAAAACCATTAGCTAGAGAAAAGCAGTGGTATCATAATCAGGATTTAGGTTTATTAGTTCGAAATGTGGATGAGCGAAGTAAGTAGGTAGTAAGTGGGAGTGTTAGAAGTATTACTACCCACTTCTTGGTCCTCCCTACACCCTGATAAAGAAAGTGTGTACTTTGTATTTTAGTCAGTGGTCGTGACTAAGAGTCACGACCAGCCATTAGGGTTTAGGGTCCTGTATCTATCGGATGGGGTATATTAACCCCATCCGAGTTCACTCCCCAATAACACACTATTCATTCTTCACCAGAACTCATGTTAGAGCCGATCTATCTGATAAATTTGGTTCCCGGTCTCCGGTTGAAAATCGTGTAACTTTCCGGGGTAACTGAAATGGATTGTATCCCTGGAATGCTACTAAGAAACCATACTCACCGTCATGTGGTTGCTTAGATAGCACGAACATGGCAGATTCAAGACTTTCCACACTTCGCATGAAATGGTAGAATTCATTATCAAGGACCCATCCTAAAAGATTAAATGAGAATTACTATTGTTTCCAAAGATTAGCTGGTGAAGAGTGTCCCTGGATCAAGCTCAGAGTTAGATGGGGATTTCGGTACCGATTTCAAAAGAGTGTGTTAAGATGCCGACTTGAAGCCAGCTCTGTCTGCAGTGCGACGAACGTTTGCAATTGAAATGGAAACAACATGAAAACAGACTGAAAGTGCTTTTAATTGAAACTTGACGTCGTTCTTTTGAGGATTTCAACAGTTAGATAACTATGACTTTGAGTACTGGCAAACGCCACTGAGATAGTACGAGGTTATGATGTTTGGTGAAACAGAACATAATTGATCGCAATGTTGAAAGGATTCAGGTTAAGGCCCTCTATGAAACACAAGATCTCCACATGGCCAATAAACGAGGTCAGTTTTGAGTGAACCAAGATGGTTAGATCTATCCTGTTGGACGCGCACTCTGGCCACCAGGAGGTCCAATGAGATTGATCAGACAGATGGTGATGGATGGACTACTCTCTCGTAAGGTCGAATTGGGAAGGGAGCTGGCTTCGTCTTCGAAAAGAAGGAAGAGAGTAACAGAAAATTTGCAGGTGGGAACGCAGGAAGCCACGAAGAACCTTGAGAGGAAACTCGACAAGTGGTGCAATGAGTGTGAAGTCCGTAACCCTTTCGATAAAGATAGGGAGATTTAAGATAAGACCTTATGGAGCCACGCTCAAAGAGAAACTGGAAGTACTGCATAAGTTGGTAGAAATTATGCCCAGACGTATAACGACCAAATAACTAACTATTGGGAGCACCAGATAAGATATGTTGTCACGATCTGCGATCAAGAAAAAAGCTCATTCCTTTGGAAGAGCTGTTGAATGGTGATTCCTGGAACATAAAGCACTCACCAACAGAGAAAGGATGAAGCACATGTATTTAGATTCTCTTAGATATATTCACGTCGTCGTTGCGTCGACTCGTACTACTTGCTATTGCTGTGACCCTTGTAAAAATTAAAGATATCCCTCTTTACAATTTATGTGTGTCTAATGTACAATGTTAGGACATCCATTGATTGAACATAGCAACTACGGCCCCGACAAAGCTGAGTCTCCATAGAAGAAGCTCCTCAACAAATTTCCTGCTTCTCGAGCTATGGACAAACAAGGGAAGCACGAACACAAGAGTACACAGGTTGGCAGTGATGTTCATCAGTGTTCTTGTGGACACAAGACGATCTTAAAATGTATTTCATTCTCAAACAACTGTACACTAACTTGTAAATTCATACGACTCTTAAACATACAATAATGTATAATTAGCTGTTGTGTTCTCAATTAAAAAGTATTAAAGATCAAGAAGTCTTCTCCTCAATGACTATTCAACTAAAGCGAAGTTCAAAATTTGATCGGCAGACACGGAACTTTCCGCTAAGAACGGAAACTTCTATTATCCTACTAAGCTTTTCTTGTGGTGAGTAAATAGTAGAACATGAACCTAGATCAAGAACTTATAAGCTTTCTTCATATAATTACAAAGTAAAATATATAATATTCTGATGAAAATGTTAATCTCGAATAGAGGTCTGATTCGCCAAGTGTTAATTAGGGCTACCCACTACCCCTAACTTAGATAAGAGTTTCGAATACAGCTAAAGTCTGATACACAAACAGTGTATGTTGACGGTAATTGTTATAAAAATATGCGGAGAGAGTAGGGTAAGTATTAAACTGTCCCTCTATCTCGTGCAGTTTTTTCTCTGCAGTTAGTAGAGTATTTTCTGTATGGAGTGATAGATAACTATGGCTACATCTGAGGGTTACTCAAGTGTTGATGAGATAGCTGCATTTCATTCTAGTCGAATATCGCTACAAGATATATCTGAGTATCAAAATATTTCTAACAGTTTAATCCTTTATATGAAACCGACATAAAATAAGGGACATTAAGATGAAAAATAGTTTTCGGTACGATATAGACAATGGACTTTCAAGCAATTGCCATAGCATTTCAGCATATCATTCCGTATCATCAAAGTTCCCAGAGTAAGAAATTCATACATTCAAGGGTAGTTCGAGACATGTCGTATGAAATCCTCGCTCACCTGTCCAGAGTTGCAAAAGTAGAACATTTAGTTATACAAATTGATGGAAACTGCAGTTTCCATCAATCTGTTTTTCTCCAATTTGAGAGTGTAACCATACGTATCAAAAGATAGACGTCAGTAGAAACTCTTCAAATGAGATGCTTGCGTTGAATCTACATAAAAATTTGAAAAACTTGTGTAGCTAAGATGAGGAGGCAGGACTTACATGTGCTGCAGGGTCTGAGTTCACCTTGATGAATGGGCTTTTTACAATTCTCGCACACCTGAGCAGACAAGGTAGATTGTTTCAACACCCTTAAAAACCTGAAACTCTAGTAGGTATCAAACAAAACCCGGCAAATAAAGGTTCGGTCACAAGGACGGAGTGAATTACTCACAAGTTCCATATACAGAAAAACAATAAAGAATCTAAGATAACTTTCATTCGTGTGTTTTGTTCCGTGGACACTCATTATCATTTATAACATAACATTTAACATTTAACATTCTGGGGAATCTAGGAAGCAGGATGTAGTTTGAGGTACAGACGATGCTTCGTTCGCGTCCGATCTTTCCAAGCTCTTATTCAAAACAAATAAGAAGTTGAAGACCATAATATCGTAGAAGATCCAAAGATAATTTGATTAATGTACATTGGACAAATCAAGGGGTAAGGCACATGTCTAAATGAAAAGAGACTAAAACCCGAAAAGATAGAAGGAAATAGTGATTTAAAGAAGTTTTTCATCCCCTAAATGTTAGTCTGACTATCATATAGAAGTATTAGTGGCTATCTATCTTGCGGTTAGCGACCATCTAACTAATGTGTAAGCTTTTTAAAATTGCTCAAGTCTAAGCCGCGAATGTATATATCATTTGCACATCTACCAAAGTGAGAAAGCAAAGTGAGAAGGCTTTCTTTTACACAGTTAGTATATGTTAAGAAAACCACACTTGAGGGTGCCTCGAGTGCTAGTGTAAGGGCCTCTTTTATGTCAGATCAAGTTTTGCTGCAGGATACTTCTTAAAATCAAAAGCTTATGGGCACTCACTACTGAACTCGATAGGATGTAAAGCTCAATAGTCTGAATCACATAAAATTGACACTTGAGGATTTTATGACTTTATGGCTATTGGAAGTTCAATCCAAAAACCAACTAACAACTTCGAGTAGATGTACTGTTTGATGAAGAAAATCCTTGGGAAAATCATAAAACGTCTACCATTGAAAAATCTGCTACAACTGCTTCTACTAATAAATGTACTATTATCAGTCCCGACTAGTGATGATGATCAAGGGGTATCATCAGTCATGCGTAAAATAGGCGATCGTATGCAGCGCCGCCTACATTGCCTAAATGTCCGCACCCGGTTGCGCCTAAATTAAATAGTTGTGCAATGGTTATTTTGTGTGTGCTAAATTTCTGCTAAACATAAGGATGGCTAAATATGAGGCTTTAACATACGAGAGCGATCGCTTTCAGGAGGTTTGAAAGATTAACTATTGTCAATGACACCCAATACATGCTCGGGCGCTTTGTTTGTGAATCCAATCGCATTTCGAGTAGGTTTGCTGGGCGCTGGGAACTACTTCAAAAAACTCTCACATTTGCATTCCAGACGAACTTTCTCACATTTGAGTATACCAGCTGACATGTTGGTGTGTAGAAAATTTGAGGAAAAGACTGTATTTTCACTACTTCCTGAAGTTTGATATCCTCGACTAATTCGAGGAAAGTCTTCTGAAAGGATCCACCGGGAGCTGCCGCCTGGACCTTGATCAATTTACAATTTCTCTATAGATCTGTCCCCTCATCCCCCATCATTAACGCAAAAATCTTTCTAAATTCATTGTGCTCCACTAGGTCATTGGGCCCTCTGAGGAATTCCATGGCCACCTTGAGTCCATCCACAAGGTATCTCAGATACCTTGTGTGTGCTTTATTTTTTGTACTTTGTGGGTGCTTTATTTCTACTAAGTAAAGCATTTATTTGACCCCGCCTAACCACGCCTCATGCGCCTAAATCAAGTTAATTTAGGTACTTCAGGCGACTGCCTAAATGATAGATAATACCGTATCATCTAAGAAACTGAAAAAGTTACAGTTCCTGAAGCTGAATGCAAGGAGACATCTAGTGACATAAACACTGGAAAGGAGGCAGATGAATTCAAAGAGGTAGATGAACTACCTGATCTGAAATTGGTATCATCTCCAGGGCATGTCTATGTGAGCGTGACGGCGAAGCATGAAAATTCTCAAGAGATTGGGGAAGTTGAGAAAATCGCTCCTAGAAGGTCCAAAAGGTTAAAATCTATGATACACAGATTGGGGATTGTGACACAGGTTGGCCATGTCTCAATTCAAAATGGTATTAGCATGTATGAAGCTGTATATAATTTGGAGGATGATGAACTTGCTTCTCCTGCTGAGGGAGCAGATAGATCAGATTGGAAGAATGACAGCAAGCAATACAGGAAGAGAAGGTATCCGTTAAAAAAAACACAAATGGGAGACGGTAAATCTTCCACATCAGAGGGTGCAGTTGTATTCATTACGTAAAGAGAGGAGGTACTGGGGAGATTCTGAGGTACAATGCCAGGTTGGGTAACAAAAGGTCTAGGCAGAAACCAGGTAGTGGTCATCATGAAACTTGATCCGGTAGCAAGGTATGGCTGTATCAAAATGCTCTTAGCATGAGCTGAAAATGATTGGGAAGTAGAGCAATTGGATGTCAAGACAGCTTTTCTGAATAGAGATTTGAAGTAGGAAAACAACATGGACTTACTTGATGGTTACATTGTTTTAGATGGGAACTTATGCTTGTTGAAAAGAGCACTCTATGGGCTGAAACAAGCATCTAGAAGTTGGTATGAAGTTGTATGGTCGTGGTCGGTTTAAATGCAGCGTCGGACACGTGTGACCTGAACGTGATGCGCGAGAATGTGAATCCGGCGTGTACCCGCCACCGCCCCCTGTCGTGTGGGGTTGGGGGGCACATCTTCGGAGGCTGAAATACGGGTCCGGTTCGGGCCTCTTGGCGCCTCGACGGAAAAAACAGGAAACGTTGTTAGAGGGAGGTGGCGGGGGGAGCCTAAACTCTCCCCTCTCCTCCTCCTCCGAGCAACACCGCACTGACCTGAGATCGGGCAAGACTACCCGCATATCACTAAGCGGAGGAAAAGAAACTAACAAGGATTCCCTTGTAGCGGCGAGCGAACCGGGAGAAGTCCAGCTTGAAAATCGCGTCGCTTTGCGGTGCGAGTTGTAGTCTGGAGAAGCGTCCTCTGCTGCGGACTTGGCCCAAGTCCCCTGGAAAGGGGAGTAACATATACCAAAGCTCTACGTGAAGGGCACATTCTAGCCAAAATGTGCCGCCTGAGAATTGAATCACCCTAACTCAGCCGTCTTAGACATAAGGTAGTGCACTTCCCGACGTGGTTTGAACCAAAACAATGTGGATTAACTCTTATTTCCGTTTATCATACCCTGAGAGTTCTACCTTAGACGCGACCTACCTGATATGAAAATCAAGAATGTTAGAACTAGCACCTATATATGTGCAGTTAATTCATCAACATATCGTCGGACTTAGAGAAGGCGAGGCAAGAGGGACTGGTGACTGAACGTTCCATATGATATAATCAACTATAATAAATTAAAACTACAAGACAGCGCATAATGAGCCTACAAAATTTCTAAACAGAAGACGCAGTTCAACGGGTTGAGCTATTGTAGAAGTGAAATCTTCACAACAAATTCTAACTTATAAGCAGCAAAGGAAGTGGTGAGCTCTCCTGGAGTTCAAAGATATCCTTGATATCCTGGTTAAGAAGAAGCTGAATAAACATGAGGGCGATTTAATCATGAACATGAATGAACGTTTGCGGATGGAACAAGGGTAGTCCAGCAAGTGCAAGTATGCAGTGTATGGAGAGATGAACGGAAGGTTACTGGAAAAGAGCAATCTCACAACTTTTATCCAGAAAGAGTTCAGTATCGAAGGTATGAAAGATGGGATGATTGTATACGAATGGCAATAAGTGGTAGCATCATGTCTCCTCAAAGAATACTCTACAATCTCAGAAAGGATTATAAAGAAAATTCATAAAGACTCAGTTTTGCACTTCTGTCTTTGTACCTGATATCCTTATTACATTGTTATACTCTCTTCGAGGCCTAAGCATGACAGCTCGATCGAGTGGTCTACTGCAATTTGCTGACAAAGCGACACAGCTCTGCAGTGAAATGCAAACAAGAAAACAAGATGAAATATGTTAGGCATGTCGCGTTACCTCTCCGAAGTCCCCATCATCAGAAGGATCGCTGCCACCAGGCCCTCGCATTTTTGCCTTGCCCTCCAAAACACATGATGGCTACGATCGCAAGCAACGGAATCGACATGATGATTAGTGACAGATCTCAGGGCAAACCGACAAAATTTGGCAAATAATCTGTGAAAGAGGAAGCACAAACCACTTGTCCGGTTGAAAAAATCCGGTGTATTCAAGCGATAGAGATTTCCAATGTAAATATGCCTGACCACCAGAGTGTCAGGACGATTTGATCCTTACTCTTACCCAGCAGGTGTGCGCCAAGTGCAATGCTTCATGCTTGTTACATGCAATATAAATTGCCGAAGTACCTCAAATGAAAAGGCCTCTTAAATCTCATAACTAGTATTGCGGTATTAAGTTTTAATTTATGTGCCATTAGAACGTTAAGACGAACGCTTGCTGCGAAGTTCCTAACTATTACTTCTGTCTTCAACATTGTTATGATTTTCAGGTCATTCGGAACTCAGAGCCGGAACTCCGATAGAACAATTTCCCCAGAAGCAATACAGACAGGTCCCAAAACATGGCATAATGTGCGCATTGTAAAAGTCATTCAGAAAAACAAATGGAAAAGGCCTTATGAAACGAAAATGTATACGAAAGAACTTTCTCCCCAACGTCGACATCCGAAGAAGTCAACGATTTATGAGGCAAGTATACATAGAGTACCCGGAACATAAGCAGTAAGTGAGTTGCAGAAAGGGGGAAGCAGGCAGCAACGATCTATGGGATGAAGAGATACAATGGAAGAATTACAGATACACAAACGAGTGCATGTGCGATGAGAGAACAATGTGCGGTATGGTTCCTCAAATCCGATGCGAGAGAGGAACCAGGGACCATCAACAATATCTACCCGACGGACATCACTACATCGTCCCAAGATCATCTGGTGAAAATTTAATCTCAACCCTGAGTTAGCTGCTATCAACTACCACCATGTATAGTTTAAGCTAGAACCAGAACTCATTCAAGTGGACGGACTCGCAGACACAGAAAGCCATTAGAAACACAACGAGGATCAAGATCGTTTCATGAAAGCAAGATTCCAATTCCCGTTCATTCACACGAGTTTCGAGCACAATTAGCAGCATAAAACGATTCTCCTCGTGAACATGACACGTGGCATGTCAATGCATATCAAGTACAATTCTGTCACACTCTCCTAAATTCCAAAACAACCATGAAGTGACTATAATTCCGTTCCATGGGATGATCGTGGCGTTCTAGACTGTTGACGTGGCTTCTGGATGCATGATATCAAAAAGTTGTTGGCTGTGATTGACCAGCTCGTGAATGCAGCCTTGACGGGAAAGTCTCTCCACATGGACTGAATTCCACCATCTGTGCAGGTGTTCCATGTTTTGTTGGAAAAGGTCTGATGAGAGGTAATAGTGTTTCTTGCTTTCCCCTCGCTGGTTCTTGAGAAATAAACAGGCCATGTACTCATGGAGATTGGATCACATACTCCAACCACGTGATTTTGAGGCTTGCTAGCAGGATTTGGAACTGGGGAGGAAGGTATCATCCAACTGTCCAACACCATTGTGCAGTTGAAGCCTCCTGTTGCTAAAAAGCATTTCCAGTATCTATCAGTTCGTGTTAGAAGAGTCTGAGACTGTACAACAGCTCTGATCCGTTTACAAAGACAAATTGCAACAATCCCATTATTACCTCCGTACCATGCTTTACAATCATCATGGGTACTTGGGAAAGGAGAGTTTCACGATTATGTGTTAGGTGTGCTCGATCGAAGCACCTTGTGTTCTTATACCTACAGCAAACTAACTCCCAATTCAACCTAACTTCACCTCTCTTCTGGCCATGATGCCTCCATAAACAGGACATGGACGTGTGGGTCCTTCCATTCAAGCCAGAATTACACTCTTATGATAATTACACGTCGAGACAGGGAATGAAATATGCTATGAAAAGGCAGGTACAATCAATATATATGGGACCTATTTGTTCATCATTGTCTTGCCTAAGATTTGGCTCTTTGAAACTTGTTTCCAGCGTTAAGGATCTCTCGATATTCATATCTAACAATTCAACATGCATATCATGTGTAACAATTCAAAATCCTCGATGAAATCAAGTGAGATTCCACTTCAAACAATTTGGTCCACAAACTCCACGATTGCCTCGCTTCTTCCCTTACAACATCATCTGGTTGACAAGTTCTACGTGTAAGGTATAGCTGTTATTAAGTGAGTTTCAACCGTGGCAATCGGATGAAGAGATTCCAAAACATGGCCGTGAAGGTGCACCTGCAAACTTTACAACGGAAGCTTGCTCACAAAACGACACTCGATAAACGTTCTATCCCTCCCGAACATTAGTCAATAGGTCAGGTGATTGAGCAGACGATCTGCAGTACACTCAATAACACAATTTCCCGCCACGGATTTACCGGCTAATCTATGAAACGACCCAGAAAAGTCGTCCAAGTAGTACACGAAAGGTGGTTGGTGTATTGAAGTTCATAAGGCGTTTTAAATTACTCTAAAACGTAACCGTTCAGTTGGACATACGCGTTTTTGATATGCAGCGCAACGTTGCACATCAATATCGATATATCGGTTATGCAACATTGCAATGGACGTTATGCAATGTTAATGTGGACGTTAGGCAATATTTGATTAGACACCACAACATGGTATAGTGACATCCAACCAACTACGTTGGAAGCAGTACAGCTAAGAGCCTGCCGAACTATGTAACAGCACCTTCCAAGAAAATAAAACTAAAACTAAATACTTCCTTAGGTACCCTAGTCGGGGACGGGGCGTAGATGACGGTGGGTTCACACTATTAAGGTTGTTTCTCTGCTGTACTAATCAAGAGTGTTTTCACGTGGATGCTCGGAAGAAGAAGCAAGTTATTCCTCTCGGAAGTAACATATATGAAATCTTCAAAGAGTTGTTGAGTGAAAAATCCTCACGGTTCCCCAATTATGTTGTCAACTCTCCTCCCTCTTGTTACAAACACCGAGAAGAAAAGAAGTTGCCCTCTGTGTCCATCCAAAAAGTTTCATGATTTCTCCTCTATGTCCATCCAAAGTTTCATGATTTCTGTGCTCCCAGCTTGACACAATTCATTCCATCATTTTCTGCTCACTACGCGCACTACTCACTATAGGTCACTGCTCGTCGCTCGTCCCACCACCAAATCAACATAGTGAACAGAACATCATGGAATGAATTGTGTCAAGCTGGGAGCACAGATGCTTGTCGCGGTTAACATTATGTGTAAAACACTGAGTGTTTCCATGGACGTAGCCATTTCTGGAAAGTTCTTTTACATTACACCGTACTGGAATTTCTGATCCTCACGATTAATACTCACTTGCATATGCCACTCCTTCCCTCCTAGAAGCCCCGGTTGGGTACAACAGTTACATACACTAGTGGTTTATGATAAAAAAGCGGATGTAAGCGAAGGTGAGAGAGAAAAGAATGCATCGAGGCTCTCTTAATTGCCAACCAATCAGAAGAGTGTGAGCTTCACTGGCAGATGACTAATGACGTGATGACGGGTGAAAAATTACCAATAAAATTCAATTAGATCTTCACCACTGAAAACTCCAATTATTTGATTCCAACGTGAACTAAAAAGAATGCCAATCACTAAGCAATCAGAAATGAAACAATCAAATTCAGTTAGAGCTTCACCGGACAGACACGAAATCTTTTCTTTGAACTATAGATGGTTAACAATGGTGCAAGGTGGCATTGTGGTAGGATAAGTGTTAGAAGTATTCCTATGCACTAATTCTCCTTCGGACACTCGTGACAAAAAACGTGTGTACTTTGTAATTGTAGTTAGTGCTCGTGACTAAGTGTCACTACCACTGTCACGACCACGGTGACGACCAGCCGCCTGTGTCCGTTCTTGGTAGGATGTCCTGTATCTCTCGGATTGGGTATATTAATCCGATCCGTGTTCACTCCCTAAAACACACTGTTCATACTTCCCCAGATACTTCCCCAGAAATCAGTGCCTGTGTCAATAATCTGATCTTTTTAATAACAAGAGTTGTAACGGAGTGTTGTAATGAGAAGTAGTGCTACTAAAGCTCAATTGAGGATGAAGTTGCAAACTCCGGCAAATTTATCCAAAATGTATGAGGAAAGAGTTCATTTACAAAGTTGATACAGAGGCAAGGACCATAGATAATGTGCTGTAAGAGGCAGCTCCTATCCATATGAAAACCTGTGTAAGTAAGAGGTGTCATTGGCTATTAATACAAAATGTGCCTTTGTTGAATTCTTGTGTAAATTCCAGCGAAGAAGAACGGCAGAAATTATTAAAACGAGTCTTGTTGGCCACAAACAAAAGCTGTTTAGCAAAGTCGGTGTTCCTGGCAATAATGCTGTATCTAGGACATAAGTAGATGAGGCCGAATCCTAACGGGCCCGTTCGACTTGGGCCGGTCCGTTTAATATGTGCCTCTCAACTCAATGTATACTATAACGAGCGCTAACAATCACCGCAATAAAATATCACGAAGAAAACCACGTTTTTATAAATAAGCTAAACCAAACAATTGTTCTAAGTTAAATCCTAAAATTAAGGACATCTTAAAGGACTCCTTGGATCATTGATCCATGGAAATACATTTTAATAAAGGGTATTGGAAAATATTAGAGCCAGAAGGAATGTGAGAGAGAGCTAGTATAGAGAAATTTCCTGTAACTGTAACCCAAGGAAGAAGTACGGCAATATACAAACAGTAGTCATAGACCCAAAATCTACTTGTTCAATTAACACGGGTGGAAAAGAACCAAGAACAGCATGGTGGTTGCCGCAAGCGTAGACAAAATGCTTAGGGAACTTATCTAAGTTCGAACTTAGATAATCGATAGGAATAGAGAGGCTATAGGGTGATAAAAATAGCTATTAAAATAAATTTAGTACTACTCTAAGTTTAGTATATACTCTCTGCTTTCTTGATTTCAAAATTTCAAAACATAATGAGATCACTATGCGCTGTGGTTTACCGTGGTGAAGTCTTGCGTACGATGTTAGGCATATAGATTGTTAAACAGGAAGTCCAAGCTTGTAATAATGATAGTAGCTACGACTATGAGAAAGTGGTGAATTTTGTAAAGACGAGAAAGCAAGCAAAAACAGACTATGCTTACAAGAAGAGAAAAATCACAGCAAAAAATATGAAATCAAATAGAAGTTTATAAAATGTAACAATTAAAATGCTTGCGGGAAGCACCTCAAATGAGAAGGAAAGGCCATAATAAGGCCTGTGAACTCTATTCAAATTTGAAATACTGATAGGATGATAACGGGCCAAAAAAAAAAGAGTAGTGCAGCACCCGTTGATTCCGTTGATGGGATTCAAATAAATAAGAAAACAAGAAACTGACAGCGCGGTGCAGACATCGCTCCACAGTAGCCGGTATACCCGTCATGGCTCTTCTTCTTGCGGGTTGACGAGCCTTGCTGGAAGAAATCTCGGCCGCTGGCTGTCGAGGGTGATGCTGCTGCCACGTACTATCGGCAGATTCTACTCGAGCACAGTGGATAACCAAACGGGACCGGAAGTGATCATTTTAAATTCTTGCGGGAAGAAAGGGGAGAAAGACCAAAAGTTACAATCGTTGAGCTCCGACTGGTAACCATCATAATATATATACACATGTTTCGAATAGGCCGGGTACAAATACTGAAGATACGGTCTGCTCTTGGCAATTTAGGTTTCATTTTCCACCGGGCGATTGTCCCGGCGATAGTGAAGGCACAAGAACATTTCTGTGGCATTAAGTTAAAAATGCCACAGAAAACCCTAGATGTAATTTTATTTTCAAATTAAAGGAAATGAAAAATGGCATTCAATTCAGTCTTGTCCGGCAGAGAAAACGGGGCGGTACGCGGTGTCGCCCTTTATGTGCAATTCTACCGAGATAGTTAGAATGGTTATGGCGATTACACGTGACTAAGTATGTGTTTCGTTGTAATTTTCAACTTACATTAAAGCTTAATGATGACGATTCTCGGTTATGATCAAACTCAAAAATCATTTAAGTATCAATCATTCCAATCAGATTCCAACAGAATAATGATTCTAAATATAGTGAATCCAGTCATATCAGATCAGAACGAGGGCGACCTTTATGTGCAATTCTACTGAGATAGTTAGAATGGTTATGGCAATTACACGTAGCTAAGTACGCATTTAGTTGTACTTTTTAACTTAGATTAAAGCTTAAGGATGATGATTCTCGGTTATGATCAAACTCAAAAATCATTTACGTATCGATGACGATTGTCGGTTATAATCAAACTCAAAAATCATTTACGTATCAATCATTCCAATCAGATTCCAACAGAATATTAATTCTAAGTATAGTGAATCCAGTCATATCAGATCAAAACGAGGGCGACCTTTATATGCAATTCTACTGAGATAGTTAGAATGGTTATAGCAATAACACGTAACTAAGTACGTATTTCGTTGTACTTTTCAACTTACATTAAAGCTTAATGATGATGATTCTCCGTTATGATCAAACTCAAAAAAAAACATTTACGTATCGATGACGATTCTCGGTTATGATCAAACTCAAAAATCATTTACGTATCGATGACGATTCTCGGTTATGATCAAACTCAAAAATCATTTACGTATCGATGACGATTGTCGGTTATAATCAAACTCAAAAATCATTTACGTATCAATCATTCCAATCAGATTCCAACAGAATATTGATTCTAAATACAGTGAATCCAGTCATATCAGATCAAAATGAGGGCGTGATGCGCGTGGACTAAGAGATGAGACTTGCCATCGTCAAGGTCAGGGAACTCACTCTAGGTTCCGACAATTTCTCCGTGAGGCGCAGAAGTTCATCAATGGTCTTCTCTTTAATCTGAGCCATCGTGACAGCTCTTGAATCAGACTCAAAAGACGCTGAACCTGCTTCTGTCGTTCTTCTGAGTGCCCATCGACCTCTTAGACATAAGGTACGTGCCTTGCCCTGCACTTCGCTTCCTTCATCAGTAAACCCTCAAGAATATTTGGTCCTCCTACGAATTTCGCATGTACTCAGAAAGATCTCCACGATTCCAGACAGTGAAGGACCTTGCCCACGCTACTGACGGAGTGCCATTGGCTTCAGCAGTCACCTACTTGTACCAGGGACTTGACCGAGTCAGGCCCGCTTGTTCGGGGTCATGACAAGCTTTGGAAAACAAGCCAACGTCGAAGGCACCGTGTAAGATGAACTAAGGTAGAACGAGAAGAAAAGATCCAAAGGATGATTAATGGTCAATAATTTCGAGTGGGAGCGATACATCAACCACGAACATCTCATAAGGAAAATCCACCCCATATTTTTTAACGAACAATTTATAGTGGGACGCTGTGAATGAAGAGACAACCAACTTGCTTCCCGTCCTCCAAGTGAGCAAAGTAGAACCTCGGAAATCACTTACTTGACATGTCAAAGAGCTTTGTAACGAAGTTGTACAGAAGAAATCGACATCGTGCGCGAATTGCTAAATGCAACGTGTCGGAAAAGAAGGAAACAGCGATTGGGTTTCTCAAATCTGCCATATAAAGAGTGCAGTAAAGAATCGAGTGTCAATCAAGGAGTTGGTCTGCAACCACGAAAACTCATACACGAGATCGCAAATTGGCAATCCACATGAGAAGTTTTTTTAACATGATACGAAAGCTCAAAAGCTGCTCACGTGAAACCAGGCCCAACAGAGTCTTCAGCAACATCAGCTTCTTTACTCTCAAAATGAAAGACCGAGATTTATCAACTACTATTCAATCAATCAAACCAAAGTTCTTCCTTCAAAAACCCAAAACTCATGATAAATTGAATCAACTTATCGGATATTTCACTTGGCTCTACATAACAACCAATTTGCCTTCGAGGAAAGTAAGATCTCGGTTTCTTAAAAGTATTCATTTATATTGATGCAGAATGATAAAACGCTACAAGTTACTGTGAAGGGAAAGATTGCATAATAAATTTACTTTGTGCTTTCAGCAGAACACCTTCTTTACTCAATAGGAAAGATTAACAAAAAGGAAGTGGTGGGCCACTGTAGGGAATTATCTTCGAACCATCAACTTGTTGAGCATTCAATGTTCTTCCGTGAATGCAAGCGACTTCCTTTCTTTCCAGGATCTATTATTATCGAAAGGTAAGATCTAATTAAGCTTGACAACCCTTACGTGGCAATAAGCTGCTTGCAAACAGGCCAAACGTTTGGAAGGTCTCTCGAAGCTTCGTCATAGACGAACGACAGATTTCACCCTGTTTGCAAACTGCTCTTTCTCACGGTAAAGGATGTAGAGCAAACTGCTGAAAGAATTCTCAAGTACTGAAGCACCGTGTGCTTCACAACTTATCCAACTACCTAGAGTCAGCTATCCTTTGGTTCCATGGCTGCAAAGTGGACTTTCGAAGCCCAACTTACTTGACCAAAGAAGAGGAAGCAAGAACACGCGTAGGAATAGATGATGCGTTCAGGAAGCGGCAGTGTCGCACGATAGTCCGCAACAAGATGTCTCCAATGTCCATCGAACAAACACTTGACTCCTTGAAATCTGAAAAGGAAGAGGGGTACAAGAATAATCAATGGTCATGCGTTTTGAAACAGTAGAAAGTCTTTGGCCACCAGGAGACTAGAGCTCAGATACCCAAAATAGTAAAACAACTTATGGAGTTTACCATAAATAGAGTAAAATGCCGCCGATCACCACCTGCGGTTGACTACCATTTATACCTAGTCCCATCAAGGAAGACTCCAAAGCCTGTCTTCCTCGAAGATATGGGGTCAAGGAACGTGTAATGAAATTCGGTGACAGAATTGTGCCAAGGTCACCTTCAAAGGATATGAAGCTAAGACCAGGATGGACCTCCAAGAAGTCAAGAAAGATTCTTGCGGTGAGCAAGACGTATTACGAATTGTTTCGCAACAACCTCAAAAAGCTGTGATGTCTGATGGGGCAATAAACTATCCATTGTTAGCTACCGTTCAATTCTAGAATGAATTACCGAAGTCCGATCCTGCACACGACAGAACCCGTGTACGGGATCTGATGATGATTGGAGGACCCATCTCTCACGAAGAGGTCTTGCTTGTCCGTGAGGACAAACTGGAATTCGGTAAGTTACATTGGGAATTTCTAGAGGACGGAGTAGAATGGGAAGACAAGATTGCTTGCCAAATCGTCTGCTCCTTAGACCTCTGTTGCACCACTCGACCAAGAGAGGCCAGATTCACTAGTTCGTCGAATCCGGACGGCGAAATCTCTTCATATGACGCAGCCAATGTCGAATCCACGCATCGGACATCCGACAAGTGGACCGTTATGCAGACTAGAGCTACGTTCATGGAGAGCCCGAATTATGCTTCCCTCCCCAAAAAATTGAATGCGCACTCCAAGCCAGGCCAGTTGGTTGAGATTGAACTTCGTGTAGTTAGATTAGCCACGGAAACGATGCCCACCTGGTGCAGGAAAAGGCCCCATGGCTCACTAGGAGCCCGAATGAGAATCGTCCGTCATGATACTGAAGAAAATTCACGCTGCCCGTCGAAAGGCCCGTCGATGTCCTAGAATTGCCAGGATCATCGGCCCCGACCTCGCCAAGCTCCAGAGATGAAATCCAAACACCGACTGTCTCAACGAGACGATAGACCTGCTAGAACCACCGGCCAGCGAAATCTGCCCCAAAGCTGCTTCGTCCTAGCTTGCACCTCAGATGGCCGGCGCTCTCGACCTAGGCGGCCAGCCAGCAATCAATCAGCCCGCCTCAACCTCGCGGCTCGTCCTCCTCGTCTGCAGTAAATGGACGTCCCCGCCTGATCTTCCCCGCTGCCTTCCTTCCTTCCTTCCTTCCTGCCTCCCTCCTACGCCCCGCCTCCTTCTCGCAAAAAATATTCCCTACTCGTGTGTGGTACCCGCAGCAGCAGCGGACTTCCACCGCTGTATACTCTACCGCTCATCTCTCGTCTCTTTTCCCCGAATCGAGCGCCCTCGCGATAGCTCCATTCCTACCCTCGGCCCGTCGAATTGCCACCATGCTTCCTTCGCTCGTCCGTCCTGCCTAGCTCGCTCGCACGCTCGCTCCTCCTCCTCCTCCTGCTCCTTCTCCTCCTCCTCCTGCTGCTGCTGCTGGCGCCCCGCCCTCCTTCCTCCTGCCCCGCAGCTGTCCTTGTCCCGCAGCTCTGCTGTAATCTGCTTCACTCAACCTCCTTCCCTAGGGCGCTGATGTGTTCAGCTGATGGGACGTCCTAGAAGCAGCCAAGCTCCACTGTACCGAGAGAGAGACAGACACACACTCACTCCACTGCGTCCCTTGAACGGGAAAGCATGATCCGTATATCAACCACGCAGCTCGCAGCTGCTGCTGCTGCCCAAGCCTCGAGCCTCAAAGCATCAGAGCCTCAGAGCCTCAGAGCGAGCAGCATGAGGGAAAGTGGTGAAGAAATGAGAGCCCGAGGTGGGACGGACCTAACTACAGTACAGTGTGTTCATGTAATGAGCTCGTCTCGTCTCGTCTCTGCGAGGCTCTGCTTTCTTGATTTCGCGTCATTTGCACGTCCGAATTCCGAATTCAGCTCGGACTTCGCAGAAGCGTGGAATTATTTGCGGGCCTGCTCTCTGCTTTATTTGCTTTGCTTTCCAGATCCGTCCCGGGGAAGCTCGAAATGTCGCCGACACTGCCACTCCTCCGTCCCGTCCCGTCCCGTCCCATCCCATCCCTGCTCGTCCACATGCCGACCGATTTCGAACCAGGTGGTCCGATCGCTGCGGGGTGGGGGTGCCCCCGCCACGACCCTCTCTCCCTCCTGAAAACCCCCTCCCCACACCCCACCCTTGCGCGGGGGGGCTCTATAACTGTTATCGACCCCCCCACACTTCGTCGTTCATCTGGGCCGATCGATCGATCGATCTCCGTCGCTATCGTCGTGCCCTCGCTCGCAGCGGTCGCCGGCCGGTACCCCTCCGCCCGGGGACGGCGCTATAAGTCTGGCAAAAACGTATCGGAAGCTTTCGCACGTGTCGACGTGGTTCGCTATTTTGGCAGAGCGAACTAATCTCCCGGGGGGAGGTGAGTCGGATACCTACAAACAGTTCTCGTCGAGAGAGGAGGGAGATGAGGAGGTGTTTCTTGTAAATAAAGTCCCTGAAATCTCTTCGGGAGATCCTATGGCTGCGGTCGATCGAGGATTCGTTAGGTGAATCTGGTAGGTTCGATGTTCCTTGGCTTTAAGAGATTTGATATATGCAGTGTAGTTGGTATCTTGGGTGACTTTTTTCTGAGGAATCCTAATCGAGTGCTTGTGGTGACACTCTTACCTGAATCATACTTTGGCGTATGGTATTACTCGTCGATAAAGAATTATGTTTGTATGTTGTTGTGGGTGATATTGACAGCGAGGTCAATCACTTTATATCACCATAGATTGAGCACAAAGGTGCATGAGTTTTGAGGCTGATTGAAGTAAAAATATGTCTATTACTAAGGAGACTGCAATTAGCTTCAAGTAATATGTTATTGCTCAGTCATTTTGTTTCATACTTGAACAAAGAATGTACAAGATATTTTTCATTCGAACTGATGATCTAAAAATAAAAATTATGGTTGAGGTTTATAGCTACATCAATATTGAATACCGTTATCAAATTTTACGGAAATCTTATTTATCTCTAATTAGCTTAGTATCCAAATTGGTAAAAGAAAAATTATAAGCTTTCAACATGTGTCAAAACTGTCTAAAACCTTGAGCAAAATATGATTATCATATATCCATGACAATGCATTTTTACTCTGAATGTCATTATGATATGCACAATAAGTTTTGCATATCACAAATTCAACTTTGATTTTATGATTTATTTATCACGGTTATTAATCACGATTTTTCTTTTTTTTTTTAAATATGATTTTTATGGATTCAGTTCTATTTTCACATATTTCTAAGATTGCGAAAAATGTATAATTCACAAAATCGTCATTTACGCAATAATTTTTATACAAAATACAATCATTTCATAAAATAAATTTTAAATAGAGATCTATAAACTATAATATTTTTCATATATACATTATGATAATACTGATTAAAAAAGTATATTTCAAATTGCAAATTTGTTAATTGATATATCATAATGATTCTCAATGTGAAACATAACAACTATAAATGTGTTATGATGTGTTTTGTGTTCAATATAGACAAAAAATATCTGAAAATCATTAAAAGAACTTAAATTTGTTGATCATAAAATCATGAAAATACTTTGTATGGATTAAAATCTAAACATTTCATTTAATAATATTTTAATTTAATTCAATGTTAACATAAGCATTTCAAAATTGCATAAATGTAATGCAAAGGCAATTCATGTATTTTAAAATTTTTGTGTTGTCATACAATCATTTTGAAAAGATAATGGCATTTTTCATGTACAATTATTACTATTGATGTCTATTTTGAACCAAAAATTTATCAACATCAACAAAGTTTCAAGGAGCTTTGAGATCTAAGGATGATTAGAAGTTTGCTAAAATTTGAACCTTATAAGCTTTAAAACTTGCTTTAAAGTTGAAGATTTAACAAAATGAAATGAAATTGTTGTGAAGTAATGAATATGGGATATTATTTTCTTTTAGAGTTTCTCGTGCTTTGGAATTTGTGATAAATATTTGATGTCTTCAACTAAATAACTTTTCGTATTGCATTATATATTCCTTTAGAGTTCATTGTGTGTTTTGAATAATTTAAAATTTGTGAATGTCATTTTTATATCTAGTGTTAATTAGAATATTATTTGTAACTCAATAACAACAATTTTAAAGGCATATTAAATTTAAACTTAATAATTATTACATCTTCTAAATTTTTGAAATTTCATCATCTATAACATTTGTATTCATCATATTGGGAGTTCATTTCGGTAAAAGTTAATAGATGCAGAAGATAAATTTGTCAATTAAGAAAATATATTTTACTGTTATTTTTTTAAATTCCAGTAAATCTAACCTAAATTTATATATAATAGCAAGTTGACGTGTTTTTATGTTTTTATCTTGAATTTTATGTCAAGTTAAGGTTTTTTCAATTTCATTATGTTTCAAAATTTTCATTTTTTATTTCCATCAATGAAAAATTTTGGATCCATGATAACTTGTTGATAATTACTTTACAACACTTATGGAGAAATTGTGAAAAGATTCAAACTTAGATAAGATGGATAACTCGTGAATTTTAAAAATTGATGATTTTAAAATTGTATAAATCTGATATAATGTACCCAAGTCAAAGAATACATCAAAAACTAAACTGTGATTCAAATGACTTCACGATTATATGGAAACCTTAGGATAAATTAAAATAATAGCAAAAATAAAAAAATTAAAGCAAAAATCATGTTTAATTAAAAATAAAAAATCACTTCAATAGTTTTGATAATATATTGCAACAATCTCAATCAAAGGATGAACTTATTTACGGAATAAACACAACCCTCAATATGAAATAACTAAAATGATTTTACTTCTCCTTATGAAAAATTTATATATTTCAAACACAAACACAAAGTATATTCTTCACATCCAATCCACTCTTAATGGACTGATGATATGGAGATTATATCTAATCATTACACATATTGCTGAAGTGTTGTTCTCACCTAAGAGATATACTTTGTATCTACCAAATATATTTATCGCTCTCGTTACAATTATAAATGTAACTTTATCTTCATCATGAGTAAATTGTACTTCGTTTCTAACTATAGATGCTTACACATATTGATATATATATAATAATTGTATATACTATACATTATTTAATAAAAAAATTAAGTTTTTGTGGATATAAAATTAAAACTATATTTCTTTATTTTTCATGTTCTGTTATTTTAAATTTGATTTGATAAAAATAACAAATCATTTAAATGTTTATAGAATTTTATAATAATTTAAGAATCATTATAGACAAAATAACAGACAACTGCAAGTGAAAAAATGGAATTTTAAAACATACTTAATGGATTTTGAACTTCAATTTATTTTCTTTTATTTGAATATTTTTCTAAAGAGATTATAAGTGTGATCTTATTTTTTTAAATATTTATACACTACCAAAAAACACATCAAAATATAAATAGTAATAAATATAAGAAATATTTTCAAAAAATGGATTTTTTTTTGATTTTACATATATATGATATAGATGCATAACTAGAGAATCTGTTGAGGTTAACTTTGGTTAAGGAGTAATCTCATATTATAGCTATTTATAGCTAGGTGTGTCGCTTGACTTTGAATATAAATATACCCCAAGGTTTCTACTCGGGTATACATTGTGTATTAAGTTGTCACTAGACCTTCTTGCGCGTTTAAGTCGTGGACGTAGTCCTTGAGGGTGAACCACATTATATGAGTGTCTAGTGTTAAAATTTTGATTTCTAGTTTGAGAGAAAATGTCTATGAAGGATCACTTGGAATTCACGTTGGAAAATGAAAGAGCGGAGAGTATGATTGAGAGTGAAATTTCCTTTGTCTATCTAGTAGTCTCATATGATAGCATAGAAGTGATTTTGTATGTTTTGTTCACGTAAACACGTCATTATGAGAAAAAAACAATCTTTTGAGAAAAATTATTTTTGAGAGTATTTTTGAGAGTTTTTATTAATTGTAGACTGGAAGGTAGAAAATGTTTTAATCTTTGTTTCAGGTCTAGTTAATGTGTTAACATAAAGATATAAGTATTAGAAGTTGAGTGAATTTTCACGAGAAAGTTTATACAAAGTAAATTTTTTTTTTCTCAATTAAGCATTTGAAAATTTGTACTAGTGTGTATTGAACGATAACCTACGTGTAAGTTAAAATTCAGTGAGAGATCACGTCTAGAGACAAAGTTATGTTATTTTGAAGTTTAGGAGATACAAATTCAAGATAAGAGAGCAAAAGTTTTGGATTTCATTATTCGCTGTTTTTGCCAAGTAGATAGCGTTTTGAGAGGTCTTTTGAGTGTTTTTCACCTTATGGAAAAATGAGTGAACAAGGGGGTTGGAAAGTTAGGTTATCTAAAGTGTCTCAAGGCTTGGATGTAATAGTATCTTTAGATTCCAATACAAGAAAATTCAAGGTGAAGTTTGAAGAAAAAGTAGTAAGTCAATTCCCAAGAGTCAAACGTTAGACTTGCTTTTATTGTGGAGAGGAGGGACATAAGATTGTCAATTGTTCCTTACGAAACAAGGATAAAAGATTGAAGACCAAGAGGAACTCGGGAGAGTTGAAACTTCACTTGGGACCATCATCATCACATGAATTCCAAAGTGCAAACTTCTGTGACAATTGTGGAGTAATTACACTACCGGCAGGACACGAATGAAGGCGCTTCTATAATCACTTGTGGAAAGTTTTGACGGCAAGCTAGATGCTGAAACGGAGAAAGTGAACTCGGTTGGTTCAACCTCCAACTAAGATGGAGATCATCATTTGGATGATGGAGAAGATGATGATAAGGTTAAGACCCTTAGGCATATGATGATAAGACTCATCGTATGCCTATGGGAGGAGTGAGCTATGTCTATCTTGGAGCAACCAATTACTTTTGTGTTTCCTTTGATGATTTACTCAAGGATGAAGTTAGTGTTGTTTGTATTGTATTAGGAAGTTACATATAAATCTCCAATAGAAAAAGAAAAAGAAAGGAGCAAAATTATAGTTGGAAATGGAAAAAATTCCAATGTTTTATGGGAGTGAGAATGAGGATGTGTAAACTTTTGTTAGGGATTTCAAGAGGGCTTGTATATGAAACAATAAG